GGCTTAATATTTATTGTCTGTATTTTCTTTGCACTAATGGGAAACTGTGGGTTATTTTTTGGCTATATAAGATTTGTGCTGTAGAAGGTAGAAGAATTAATATCTTCTATGACTCATTACAGATGCAAACTAAGAACTAAAGTGTTTCATGCTGCCGTGTGTCTATTGCAGCTCATGGTTTTAACAATATTGTAGATAAAAAAAAAAAAAATTTGTGGTCTAAAACTGCTTTTGGGTTATTGTGTCAGTGGCATAAATTAGTTTCAATATTATAGTTTATCATTTGTTATTGTGTCAGGGCTACTAGTGAACAATATAGACCTAGACAAACTTTAGTGATCCACAAGGAAAATTATTTGGACACAGTAACTCACACATCACAATATAATATAATAACAAAGAGCAATAAATAAATAAATAAATAATTAAATAAATTGTACTAATAAATTCAAAATAAGTAAGAGACTACTGCTGTTTACAAACCCCATGACTCACCTGCGATGGTCTATACACCTCATCACCCTCCCGAAGGTGCCTTCTCCCAAAGTGCTGACGATCTCATCTGCAACATAACACAAGACAGGAGGGCAGGAGAGAGAGAGCGGGGACAAGAAAGGCAAAAGGGAATTAGCCACATGGACTAGAGCAGCGACGCATAACACAACAGTGCAGACAGGCGTATCAATGCTAGCGCCCATCCCCTTTTCAAATGGCTGCCTGTTCAATGTGCCGGTAAATCTACGGCAATTAGCTTCTACTATAACAGGTGGAGAAAGGGGGCCGAAGTAAAGTGCTCCCTCTCTGACTCTGAGGGCCAATTTGCAGCCATTGAAAATAAGGGTACAATAATTTTCCCTATCACGAAAACAAAAGGACAGTGTATTTTCCCTGACTAGAAATAGCCTGTGTGTGCATGTATGTGATGTGTGCTGGATTATCTATAGCAGTTAAGTTAATTGATGAACCCTGAATCCCTGTGGCTAAAAATATCTATCTGAACACGTGCGATGCAAGAGCTGCGGTTGAGAGACTAAAAGGTTTAGAGAAAAGTTGTGCAACATCCGAAAAATGCTCCACAACAAAAGGAAAACGGGATATAACTTAATTAGACAAACATCCACCCTGCCAATCTGAGCTAGAGTGGAGACCCTGCAGCTAGCAAGGTTTCCTCAACATCAACATCATCATGATCTGCAGGCACTCCCATGTCATGTAAATGCTATACTCAGATATGGTTACGATAGAGTAGTGGCAGTGAGTACATCTCTCTTGTAGGACGTCCCCACTCCGACAGATCAGGTGCCCTTCTTCGTCGTCCCTCACACTCAGTGCCCTGGTCCGGCTGGCGCTCCTCTGTTTTCGCACCATCACAGGCCGAACACAGCGAGATTTGGAGGAAGAGGAGATGTAGTTGTAGTAGTTGTTGTTGATGTAGGTGGGTTTGGTTGGTCATTAGGCGATTCACGCATGACACCACGTGAAGGGAATATATAACGATAGGGATATAGTGCAAGGGAACAGGTCAAAGATCACATGATGGCCTCTGCTCCAATCCCTCCTCAACACTTAAAAAAAAAATCCAACAGCTGCTAACAAACAAGGAAGCAACTGGCATATCCATATTCATCAACGCAAACACCAATTAAGACACATAAATAAACAGGATGGAAAACATTACAGTGAGAGGCCAATACTTATCATATCCCCAGTAACCTAGCTCTTTTCCCACTATTATCAAAATTATTAAATTTATGTGGTCATATACTGTACAGGCAAACATGCCTATTATCACCTAGATTATATAAATTTAGCACAAGATTTGGCAGGTCATTTTCACTTTAAAATTTTTTTTGAGCTTTGTTTTCACTTTTTGTGTACTAGCCTACTTATAGCCTTGCCAAGGGATATAGAATATAGAAATAGTAATGCCATATCATATTATGAATCCACACTGGGACACTGAAAATGTTTTTCTTTAACCTGTAGGATATACTTTAACCATAAATTCTATTAATAATAATAATAAAAATCACATTCCACTAGTTTCTGCATTTCATATTTCCTAATCTTGTAATCATGAAAATGCCCTGCCAAACTAAAAAGCCAATTAGCATAAATCCCACTTGAACATAAAACAAATCAAGATTGTCCTACTCACCAAGTCCTGTGGCTGTGGAGAGAAAGGGTTAGAGAGAAGACAGAGCCAAGTGAAAGAAGCAGAGAGAGGAGAGTTAGGGCCAGAGTCACATGGCAGTACTCACCGAGGACGATGGGCTATAGGACCTGGTTCTACGCCGCCTTCGTTTGTGCTTACGCCTGCTGCCCTTCCGCCTGTAGGACTCATCGCGTCGGTACGAGTCATCGCGTCTGTAGGACTCTTCTCTTCGGTAGGAGCCTTCTCGTTCTCGCTCTCTGCCTCGCCTGTAGTCGTACACATTTGCGCCGAAGTCTGGAGGGTAGTAACTTTCAGCAGCTGCGTGTGGCTCCCTCTGTCTGTCGCGGTCTCGCTCTCTACTCTGGTCCAAGCGCCGATATTCACAGAATTTCCTCTCAAACGGCCGATGCTCCGCTGTCCGATTGCCAAAACTGCGACTGGAATTACAGGCAATGTTATTTTTTTTATTAGAATTTACTTGTATTGACAAACTATATTAAAAAAAGAGAACAGAAAAATCCAAACTCAAGATCTCTATTCTTTTCTATGACAGCTAGCTATAGGGGTGACAGTGGTTCAGGAGTTAGATCAATTCCTGCCTGAACACTGTGTCTGACATTGTGTCCTTAGGCTAGGTTAGGCACTTCATCCACATTACCTAGTATGCTTATGGTGTGTGCGTGCAGATTCAACAAGCAGGACAGCTAATATAAATAATGTTAAAATGCAGTTCTAGGGTCTAGTCACTAAAAAAAACATGATTAGGTTCTTAGGTTCAACAATTGTCCATTTGTTACGATCACCATTAGCAAAGATTCTTCAATGTGAATCATTGCCTGTATAATACAGTGAAGACACTTCACCTGCAATTTATCCTGTTCATACGCTGCCTTGTACATAATAATTTTCAGAGCAACTTATTGTATAGAATAGTACTGTAGCCTTATTTTATCATATTTTATCAAACTTGCACAGTCTTTATGTCCATATTCTAAGAGATATTTATCTTGATTTTTGAGTGCCTATATCTATTCATATCTCTTGCTGCTCTTGAACTGTGCAAACACACTGGAATCTTCCCACTGTGGGACAAATAAATATTATCTTATTAGACTGAACCAACCTCCTTGAGCGCACATAGTTGCCTTCCTGCCTGTGTCCTCGCTGTCTTCGGTCCCGTTCACTGCTGGAGGAGTATGTGGGCGACCTCCTGCGATGTCGCCTCCCTCTGTCTCGGTCTCTGTCCCGGTCCCTGTAGCGGTCCTGGTAACTCGTTCTGCTGTCTCTGTCTGAAGACGAGTACCGTCTATTGTGAGGCATCTGGTCAAAGAGAGGAAAAATAAGGCATTCAGCAAATCTGGTTGCAAAATACCTTCACCTGAACTGACACTCTTACAGTGTTAACTTATGCTAAAATGCTTGGCCAGAACATGAATTTCAGCTTTACACACAAGATGTTGTAGAGAAGTTTCAGATCAGTCTTGTTCAAACCTAATAAATCATCTTAATCTGACGTATTTAACCTGTTCATGCAGTAGACTAAAAAAACAAAAAAAACAAAAAAAAAAAAAACGGAAGCTGTAAAGATAAGATAATTGTTCACACGAATGGAAGTGGCAGCGACATCTGAGTAAACATGTAAAACACACCCTTGTTGAAAATCCACTGATTTATTTCAAACCAGTATTTATCCAGGTTTGTTTGTTAGCTTAGCTAGATTGTGTTTTTACTGACGTGAACACTGAATATTAATGCATTTCGATATTTGGACAAGTATAACATGATATAACATGAACTCGAAATGATGCTATGCATTACTTCGAGTTCGCATTTGATCCACTGGAGAGCCCATTAAAAGTTGTCAACAGTTACGCATTTATCCACAGCTTAATGGAAAGAGTAAATAGAAAAGCTGGGCTTTGACGTTGTAAATAACAGTAGATAGTGGCGTTTGTGTTTTAAAATAACAATGCAAAAACACAAATAAAGGGCGATGAGATTTCAGGGTCATATTTGGCAGAGGTTTGCTGTTGGTTCGTTTTATTAGCTTTAGCTCTACGAATGTAAATAACTTGACCGCCATCTTATCCGCTAAACGGCTACAGGAGCTAGCTCTAATGAAGTCTTTGGATCGCGTTAATCTGGACACAAATAGCTCCCATAGTTGAACATTTACGTTACCGTTTTAGCAGCGAGGCCTGTGTGTTTGTCCCACAAGAAATCCGTGATTGCGATCCAGATGGTCTTTTTTTGACTTCCGAGCTTGTGTTTCGTACTAGCTGTGGCGCTAGCAGGCAGCTAGCTTTCCCGTCTGTCCGTCCGTGATCGACAGCGGGCAGTGGTTCAGCTCTGATCCGCGGAGACGCCCCCTCTGCCCCAACACGTTCACAAGTTTAGAGGACAACTTAACAACTGCAATCTTATTATTCTAAACACCATCAACATACGTATGTAAAATGTGTGCATATATGGTTTTCGTTTAATTGTGTTAATTGCTATGGCTTCTGTCCTAATATTAATTTTTTGTGAAAAACAAAAGCAAACGAATATATCTCTAGGAAGTTGAAACAATGAATAGAATATATATAATATATATATTATATAAATATATATAAATATATATATATATATATATATTATATATATATATATAATATATTAATATTTTATATATTATTAATTTTTTATTTTATTTTATATTCCTGCCAGGAGTAATTTTTTTAATTTTATTTGGTATACAAGTACAGAATTTATACATTTTTCATTTATAATTTATTTTTGAAGACCTAAAAAACAATATCCAAAAATAAAACAGCTTTATGTATGCAAACATAAACAGAATATGTAGAGGTGTGTAATAAAATTTTATTAAAATAAAGTTTAGACGCAATATTCAGGTTATACAGAATACAGAATTTTTATAAACACAAAGACAAAACATAAAAGAAGAATAAAATCAATTGTTTGAATTTTATTTTGAAGCTGTCATATGTTCCAATCGCTTAGAGCCTCGATATATCCATTCCTTATGGTTATCTTTCTGAACACACAATATTCAACACTCAGTAGAGAATTACTTTTATTAGAAAGAAATATTAGGATTTAGACTTACTGTAAAAACAACCTCCATCAAGCTGCTGTCAATCTGCAAAACAGTGCAAGGTTCCATGACTCCATCACACTGCACCTTAATACACTGTTCAATTCTGAACTGTGTCTGTGGCGGGAATGGCATCCTCTCCAGGTATTCTTTCATGAAATTTTTATGTGCTTCATCTCGAATGTCATCCAGTGGGGTAGACACTGTCAAAAGGCAAATTACATAATATATTTTGTCTATTAAGCAGTGCTATATCACAATTAATGATATGAACTGATTGGACAATGCAAATGATTTGTTTTATAGAGATAATAGCAATGATACAATTTTCAATTTTTTATGCTGTAGGTTGTGTTCCGTAACATAACATAATTTGATGTAAAATTTTCCAAATGGAGCAATGGAGCCTATATAACTCTATGGACGATTCACTTTTTAAAAATGAAATAACCAGTAAGAAAATTCATGTTGAGAATCCATAACTTTGTGTAATGGGACAGGTGGGCATAAATGATCTAAATACTCACATGGTTTGTAGATTATACGAATAACAGGTAAGGAAACATAGATTGCCCGGTGATCATCAAAAAATATTAGAAACCTATGAGGGAAAAAAAGACATTATCAAGCAATGTTTACATGGCGTTTCAGAATAGATCAAAAAGAATTACCGACCTCATGTGATTTTTTCTTGATGGAAGCTCTGCCAAGATACCCGGGGAGAAGAAAGTGTGTTCCGATTTACATTTAGACAGCACTCGTGCACCCACAGACAGGTGCGGCAGTTTTGGCACTGCATCGTAGGCAATATGATGACCCGATACCAACACCTTCCCTTTGTCCTCAAAAATAACCTTGTATTTTTTTGTACCATCCTCTGCCGAAAGAATATAGCATAACATTAGTATTCAGCATGTATTTTGTTCATTAGGGTTCTCAGACTTGTCAGACCGGTACCCCCAAAGATCAGTGCAACTAGCCCAGGAAACCACTGCAAAATTAAATTTAGATCTCTGATCATTCAGCTTTTATTGTTTTATTTAAGCAGTTTAATGTATTATTTAATCTAATTTCAATGAAACACATTTTTCAATGAAAAAAGAAGAAAAACCATGGTGTCTCCAAACCTCACTTTGGGACCACTGAATTAGAAAATAACATAAGAGAATTTTTAAAGACTGACCTTTTTCAACAATGTCAGTCACGTTCCCACGCTCCCATGTCATTCGCTTCCTTCTTGCCACCACCTGCATTCCCACACAAACTTCTTCAAGCACAGTAGGAAGGTGATTTGCTGCTTTAATTGTTTCTAATTGGAAAAAGATTAATGAGTGTACCAAGAAAGTTTTTAAAAATTGAGCAAAATGCAGGTTATAGCAACACAATGTATTGTTTGGCCTCTCTTGCAGTACCTCCTTTTACTACAATCTTAAACTTTTACAATCTTAAATCTTTTATAAACTTAATAAATAAAACAGAAAAGGTAGCATCCGTCAAAGGTTTTGTTTCCAATAGGCAATACCTCTTTAACTTGTATAAGGCACTGTGAGATCACCAAATCTTGTGTTTTTCCTTAACTACCTTCAGCACATTTTAGACCAAAATACAGCACTGAGTTGCATTTAGAGGAATTAATAATGTTTTTCCAATTACCGGTGACTGTAGATAGCTTCTTTTCTGTTTTCACTTGTGTTATCCCACTTGGTGTATTCTTAAGTGTACCATTAGTTATGTTAGTGTTGTTACTACTGGCTGGTTGGACAGAAGTGGCAGTTATGACGGTGGTGTTTTGTTGCATTGGCGTTGCTTGCTGCGGTGGTGTTTTTTTGGCAAATTTTTCATCTTTTTGGAATTTCTTCTTTTTGTGTTTATCACTTTTTTGACTTGATATTGAAAAGTCTGAATCTGAATCACTGGAGGTTAGACTTGGGTGATATTCAGAGTCGGAGTTTGAGAGTTCATTGTCACTGTACACTTTTGGGAATTTTCGACAGGTGGATCGTTGAGGTCTGAGGTTCATGGGAAGCTTTTCCAGTAGCACCATCAGCTCTTTCCTCGGCTCTGGCTTTTTACATTTTTCAGTTTTAATTTCTTCCTGCTCTTCTTTTAAACAAGTAGCAGTAAAACCACTTGAAGCAGGAGAAGCAGGTCCCACATCAATGTTGTGAAATGTAGCTCCTAGAAATAAAATATGCATTAATCATAATCTTAAGTATCTTTTTTCAAGAATATTTCGAAAGACAATTTACTGCATAATGCATTCATTCAACAAACTAGACTTCATAGTTGCTTCTTCATGTATGCCAGGGATATCCAAACCTTTTTCACTAAATACTGAAACATATTCCAAGAGGAGGCCCACAAACTGTTCATTAGTAGTGGATCATACATATGGGTGCTTGTTCACTTTTTTTTTTTGACCACCATACCTTTAGTAAGGCTTGGAACATAAATTTTAGGTCTGCATCACAATGCAATGCTGATAATGATGTTACCGTTATAGTGGTACAATTACTTATATTTGCTGTAAAAAAGAAAAAAACAATTCTGCCAATGATCAATTGTGCCAGTTCAGCAGAAGTTTCCAAGGGCTAATACAAATTGGTCTGAGGTCCACATTTGGTCCCCAGGCCATAATTTGGACACCCCTGATGGAAGCAATCACAGTAAATGCATTGTATAATAAGAAATAAAATCTTACCACAATTTGAGGCACTAGCATTGCAGTCTTCTGTGTTTAAATCTTTATATTCCCACCCTATCTTTGCATACAGCTGCCTGACAGTGACTTCACATTTTGAAACAGATCTAGAAATACAACAACATAAGTTTACATTGTGCATCTCATCGTAGCAAGCATCTCTGACTGCCTACGAGCAAAATACTGTTAAGACAATTAAAAAGTACAATATATTTAGATTTGACATAAACAGCACGTGTTATTTATTTTTTACTTAAAGTTTATGCCATTGTTGGGGCTGTTGATAAAGAGGAACAGATTGCTGGATTTCTTTTTTTGTGATAAATTTTTTATTTGGATTGCTGGATTTCTGTAGTGAGACAAGTAGTGAGACATGGAGGGAAGGGGGATCATTATATTCTTAAAACCAACAAGCACAGTTTTGGCACACTTACTCAAAGAGCTTGTAAAGATCCGTGTAGAGTTTCTCCTTTCTATCCCACAGGTTGAGGAGCTGACTCTGTTTGCTCATCACTTCTGGAGTCTGAAGCAGCCTGCGATTCACACTGTCCCTAATAAACTTCTGCAACTCCTCCCAGGTCATCTCCATCTCATCGCCCTCCATGGTTCCTGAAGAGAAGACACAAACTTCATCAACATGGGGTTAGGTAAACCTAACTGAAGGTACTGGAGGGAAAAATTAAATGGAACATAATGTCATTTCAACGAAGAAATTGAGATTAACCACAGAGTATCACAAAGTACAATAAATCAAGGCAAATGAAGACCACTCAGATACATTTCAGTGAGATCAGAGCCCAATTTAAATATATTTGACAACTGTATTTTAGATAATTTGTTTATTTAAAGGGAGACTATGGCTGACAAGCATATATGACAAAGGAGAAAAAAATCTGATTTTTAAGTGTTATTTAATGGACAAATACTTAGGGAAATGACCTTTAACTTCTACTTACCTTCAATCGACCTTTTAAACATTCGGATAATGTGGTATTTTAAAGGTTTTATCAGAATTTCATTATCAGATGGTAGAATATGATATGATTTCATAGAGTGGAAATTTGCATCATAAACGTGAGGAGTCTGCATTATCATGTAACTTATATGTGAAAACAAGCCGACACTATTAACGTCCATAGACTATAAAGAAATGTATACAGTCTATGGTAGCACGTTTAACTAGACAACGTGGGGCGTTAACTGCAAGTTGTGAAAAATAATCTTAATGTTCATACTTAATTTCATACTTAATGCTTGCTACAGTTAAAGTGCAAAATGATCTGTTCTGTAATGTTACTACTCTGTTTTATGATACAAACTGCGGAAGCTCCGGAAAATTCCCGGGGTAAAACTATCAGCTAAAGGTAACATTTCCAAATGGACAATACAAAAGCTTTGATTAGACTCTCAGAAACTTTCTAGAGGTGTTCTGATGTTTTTGGAATCCATCAGTTCTGTAAAACGATCTGTTTTTTTCTTTTTTCTTTTAGCAAGATACAACAGAAATCAACAAATACTTACACACAGTTCTGAAAACAGGTGATCAGAGATTAAACCGCTTTACCAGCTCATAATCAGCATTTAACAGTGCCGTTATTAAACTATGTTTCAAATATCATGGCTTTACCTTTTGTTTACCACATGAATATTATAGTTCTATGGTTTACCCCGAGTATGCTAAAGCTAGTTAACGTTAGCTGAACGTTAGCTTTGCCCCTGCTACGAAGCTTATTGTAAAGTCTACCTTATATATTAAACATAAATACTTGCCAAATTTGCCAGATATTTGCTGGAGTGTGTTGTGGGATTTGATGTAAAAATCGTTTAAAATATTAAGCTGTAACTTCCTCTGCTCTGTATAGCCATTCTTCTTTTTCGGCGGACTAGCAACTGCTGTTTGCCGCATGCCGCCACCTACTGTGCTGTGTGTGTAATAGCATATAATACCGTCAACGTTACATTCAATCAAGCAGTAAATCTGTAATTTAATAATCCAGTAAAAATTAAGACATCTTGCATTTAAGTTCAATGACACACTGTGGAACATTTTTAAAGTTTTGTTTGGAAATAACTATTAACCACAATCTGTCCCTCATCTTTTTTTAGTGTTTGTGTTTTATAGATTGTTTTTACAGCAAGTATTGTGTAAAAAGGATCTTTACACACCACCAAATCCCACTTGCCTGGGATCCAGAATACGCAACTTCTTCAATGCTTAAATTTGTTTGTTAATATTAATTGCTGCATGAGGTAAAGTGTTGATGCAGCTGACATTGAACAAAAATGGACAACATTCAACATACTGAGAAATTATATTTTTTATACTCCTTTGAAATTTCCTTACATATGGCAAAGCTTTTTCATAAATGATGTTTTTATTAAAACAAACAAATCAAGTTATGCAAGTTTGTGACACTAGAGACTAGGACTGTCAAATCAATACTAAAACTAATATCAAAACTCAACACTCAAATATTGATTCAAAATTAAATCACAAAAAGAAAACAGAAAGAAATTTGACCTTTTCCTGAATAGTAGAACTAATAAGAAATAAAGCACAATTTTAAAGGTAAGTATCAGTTTAAGATTGTAGTAAAAAGTAAAAGATGATGAAAGGAAATGATGGTGGTGAAAATAATATTAGTTAAGACTAAAAGTGCTTAAAAAGAAAGAGAGAGAGAAAGGGAAAAAATTTAATTATACATTGGCCAAAATATAAATATAAGGGGGCCTAGCAGTGTGGTTATGTTGCACTACCACATTACTTTTGTTTTATTTAATTAAATATGTGTGTGTGTTTGGGGCGGAAGGGGTGGTGGGTTACGGGTGGGCAGTTTTGTTGTAGGTATTGTTCTATGTTTTTGCGTTTTGTTTTTATGTTTATTATTTCATTTTGTTAAATGTTAAATTCAATTGTCTTTAATAATAATAAAAAAATAAACTAATATTATTCAGTGCTGGAAAAAAATCAAATATCGAACCTTTATCTTAGTGTCAATATTGAGTATTGTAACAACAATGCCTAGAGAAACAACATTGACACTATTCACGGTGGCCCTTCAGAAATGGGAACTATACAACAGGGTGATAAAAAAATGTAAATATTGTATCTTAATGCAATGTCTGCGAATACCAAGTGCATAAGAACAGTGCCTGGGCAGAACTTTATCATGAACAAATACAATGGTGATCATAATTCTAGATCATGTTTTTGTTTGTTTGTTTGTTGCTTTGTTAAAAATTGGGTTTAATTTTACAAGGTACACTTCTAGCAGGGTTTTAATTCTAGAAATCTTGCCATGTGTTCCAAACGTGTAGAGCCTCTGTGGATCCATTCTTTGAACTGGTTTTCCTGCAAAGAAACAAAAATAATAAAAACTGTGATATTATCTAGTACGTACATAAAAAACATTTATGTCAATTAATTCATACTGAGTTACAAAAAGTTACTCAAAAAATATTAATATCTTTGTCAGGTTTGAATTTGGTCTTTTAAAAAAAATAAGTAAATAAATAACCTAAATTCATATTTTCAATGATAAAAAAAATTACTAAATAAAATGTTTTATTGTTTTGGTAGTGGTGCCATCAAATTAACACACCTACATTATGCCTAAGGCAACTGAACAATTAAAAAGCACTTACATGAAAAACGACCTGTATCAAGCTGCCATCCACCACAAGCACTTCACATCTCTTCTGTACTCCGTTTAATTCTGCATTAAGGTTCTGTCCCACTCTGTACTGGGTCAAATGAGGATAGGGCCAATCATTCAAGTACTGCTCCATGAAAATCCTGTGGGCACTTTCAGGGACATCTTCGAGAGGTTTATCCACTATTAAAGTATCAATAGTTAGTGTATAAGAAACCAATAAATCAATGTTTGTTTTAGTAATAAGTCATCTTACATTGTCGGCACACCAGGTGAAGTAAAGGTAGACCAACATAGACTGGCGTGTGGTCATCAATAAAGACCAAAAACCTTTACAAGAAATGATATAGGTCATACTAGGGAAAAGTCCATGTATGTTTTGATTAAAGTATTTCAAATTCCTACCGTAACCGATTACTTCTGCTAGGAAGTTCTGCTAAAATTCCAGGCCAGAATCTGAATTTGTTGACCTGACAGCGGACAACTACACGAGCGCCCACGTACAGCTGGGCCAGTTTTGGAGGGGAGTCCAGGGCAACATGGTGCCCAGAAACAAGACTCTTTCCTTTCTCCTCAAAACTCACTTTGTATTTCACCCTTCCGTCATCTAGAAAACACAGAGAACATAGACACAATTAGACAGAAACTATTTGAATTAAGGTCTTTAAAACATTACATTTATTCTGAAATAAAACCACACTTTTGATTATTTAACCAAATCAAAGTGAAAAGTGAGTTTTAAGTTTGTAAAAGATGAGATAAGACAAGTTTTTTTTATAATCAAACAAGAAAATACTATGCTAAGTAGTAGTTAAATAGTTAAGGGGCACAGTTATGCTAGAAGTATTAATCAGACTGACAAATATTCCATTATTAAATGTCATTACTTAGTATGAATGTATACATTTAGAAGATGCATTCAAATCAAATCATGATAGCTGTCAGTCAGCCAAAGCGTAAGCTTCAATTGCCATTATAGTTCATTTATTTTCAGCACAATATAAAACATAATTTTGGGGAAAAAATCAGATTGTTATTAAGTTCACAAAAAAGATGAACAGGCTACCAGTAAAAGTTTGGGACATTCAGACAGCTAGAAACTTAAATCATAAATAACACAATAAAAGGCTTTTGCACCACCCTTTTAGGACTGTTAATGATAATGAATTCTGAAGCGTAATGTATTGCTCAAGAAAATACACAATACATATGATAAAAGTGAAACTAGTTTATAGTCACAGACATTATTTAACCTTCTAAAGCTCAAATCTTATGGCAGTACTTCAAACAAAAAATGTAAATATCGTGGCAGACCTACACCAGTTGTTCTTACCTTTTGTCACAATCTCAAGGACTTTTCCACGTTCCCACCGCAGTGGCTTCTTTCGGGCTATCACCATCATATCCACTTTGATCTCCGGTTCGGGGAGTTCGGGCCGCGCTTTGGTGTTCTCTGTGTTACCTTGGCTGAGTTGCTGTGTTGAAGTTATAATCACAGGATCCTCAGATAGGTTGTTGTTAGCGCTGCAAGATGCATGAGTGATCTTGACACGTTTCTTGATCTTCTCTTTTGTTTTCTTGTTTGCTAGTGAAAGTTCAGAATCACTGGAGTCTCGTCCTGGCTCCCACTGCATATCTGAATCTGAGCTGCTCAATGACTCCTCTTCACTGTAAAACTGCTCCGGTGTTGGTGGCCTTAACGCATTCATCTTGTATTGAGGGAGTTTAGTTAATACCACCACAGCCTCTTTAGTTAGTCTAATAGGTGACTCCCTTGTGGAGTCTGAAGATTCACTTGACCCAGTAGATGTCCTTCCTGCAGATTTCTTTCCTGCAAATACACAACCTAAATAAGTCATAACAGGACTTAAAAATAATAACTTAAGGCAATGGATGTGTGTGTTTTCATATTTTCATACCGCGAAAGTTAGCTCTTGATCTTTTGGCTTTCTTCTCCTCCTCCTCCATTGTTACAAATCTGCAATATAAAATACAAACACTTCAGAAAAAATGTTGTTGTGCATGCTTTAAGAGGCACTATATAACTTTTCATTTGAGGTGCCTGCTACCATATTATCTCCTAGGAGAAGTTATTCCTTTGCCTGTAATATTAACTTTATCTTGCATTTATCAACAGGTGTTTTTATTGCTTTTATTGCTTGTGATAATAATAATCCATTTGCAAAGTCTTGGTGAGCTAAAAAATACACAAAAAATGTAGTCTTTGTTACAACAAAACAAGTCCAAGAACGAGGACAAGGCCCAGCCTACCGCCTCTGGCCATCCCAAAAAAAATTCCGTCAGTCTCTCCCCAGGGCACCTGAGCTCAGAGTTTTTATAACAGAAATATAAAGCTACATCAAAGCAGAATGACGTTCATTTCACAGACATGTGTTAATCTTATTTTATCTTAATCTACATGCAGACAGGAAAAATAAAACAGTTTCCTGGAGGATTTAGAGACATTGCCTGTTGAGCCTTCACACAACTTATTATCTGGCCTCTGACAGACTGATCAAATGCATTTACACAAACACATATGAGACACTTACACATATACATTTCCATCACACTCCACAAACTTAATACTCTTAATGTAAAACAGGCTTGCCATTCCTCAAATATGACCTGTAATTTGGCCTGGTGGTGTCACTTAGTCGTTTTACGGAGATCGAAATATTTAATGTTATACTGTGGAACATTTCTGACAAAATAATAAAAACTTCACCATAGAAACAAGCAAGTGGTGGACCATTCACCAAAAGATAAACACTACACCTTTAAATACACAACAATGCTGCCATTATTACTATAGGATATGTGTTCTACTGCTCTAGGGAGTAGCTCTGCATGTATCTAACTTATATATAAGAGAAAAAGTTAAAAGGAACCAATGCATTTAACAGAGCAATGACTAATGCTCTCAAGATGTGAATTCCTAACAACTTAGCCTGTGAACTTCCCGCGGTCGGGTAGAAGAGTACAACTAATATTACAGGTGTTAAGTTTAATTTGAGAACCAACACCGTTTCCTATGTTAGCTAATGATATATTATTAGCATGCACAGAGCAGAGCATTAGCTGGGTGATTACAGAGACAACTCTACCTGATTTCCCGCTTGCACACGCTTGGAAATCTTTCATCGACCGGGACTTTAATGTTGACTTAATAGTAATAGGACGAAGCTGTGTTGAAAATAACGGGATGTAAACAAAAGGTCTCGCTCCTGCGCCTTTTCTTTCACGAGATCCTGAAGACTCGCGCGGACACACGTAAGCTGCGTAACACTTCCTCTGTGTCTGAGCACGAACTGAAGAGCCCAGCAGCGCCACTAGCTGACCAAAACAGGAACACATTCAAATAAGAGCAAAAGTCACAACATTATTACTCATAGGAATGACAAGTGCCGAATATTATTATTATTATTGTATTTAATATGTCCAGAATAAAACCATTTGGAACCATTTGGGCCATGGTTGGAAGGCATGACCCTATTTAACTGTATGGGAGATTCATTGTTTTTGAAAGAAATATCCAGACTTTATGATTGCTGCTATGATGAACTGCTAAAGCTTAGACCAGAGATTGCGTTCGTAAACGTGCCTTATTAATCTTAGGGCCTGAAGCACCTGACTCATGTTTTTTTGTGTGTTGAAAAGCACAGCTTTTGCACACTAAAGATACTGTGCAAACAAATTATTTACTTTTGTTTATTGTTGCTGACTGAGAAGAAATCAAACTTTTTGTTTCATGTCAGTAGATCCAGTAAAGGGATATTAAAAATGAACAAGGACAACAAATCTATGTCATGACATTCAAACAGTAAATTCCACTAGCATGTTGTGGTGTACCATTCTCCCCTTTCTTTCATCATTATATACAACATTGTAATTTTATACAACATAGCTATCTAACAAATTGTTAAAGAGTTTTTCAAATGCTGTATAGATGCTTCTTTGTCTTATTATTATTATTATCAAAGGGTATTTCTCTCGGCTGGCCTTGGAACGTCTCGGGATCCCCCTGGAAGAGTTGGAGGAAGTGTGTGTGGAGAGGGAAGTCTGGGAGGCCCTCCTCAGACTGTTGCCCCTGCGACCCGACCCCGGATAAGCGGAAAAAAATGGATGGATGGATTTCTCAAAGTGTATTTCTCACAGGAAAACCAACTTCTCATTAACTGTTAACTTCCGCAAGGACAGTCCTCGTTACATCCACCTTGATTTGATACATACCACTCAGCAGCTGGCACGCACAAACCCTGAATGCTGGCTTCTGAGTTTCTTTGTGTTAATATCTCTGTTATTTTCTGACACAAAATATTATGGCATCAAGTAACATTCATATAGAGAGTGAATAATAAATAAACAAGAACAATTCCTTTGGTGACTATTACAATCTCCCCCGGATGTGTGTGTGCAAGTTTTTTCTCATTTGTTCATGTCTGACTGACCTGGCTTTCTGGCAGAATTCACACATATTAAAATAAAGACATGCAGGAATCCTTCATAATCAGGTCATAAATATTGCTGCATTTCTATCACAAACCAAAGCTGGGTTGGTAATACTAGACAGCTTCCAGCAACAAGAAGGGTAGTAGTTTGACTCCAGCTGCTGTAATTTTAAAAAGCTCATATTAAGCTATTTTCTGATCTGTGTTATAATATTGTTTCCTCATCACAAACATACCTGGAGCTGTGTTTTGTTTCATTCAGACATGTTTATCACACAAGCCCTGCATATTTAAGATGATTTTCTCTCTCTAACAGAAAACACTCTGTTCCATCTTGTGCTGTCATGTGGTACAGGGAGTCCTACACTGTATGATTAAACACCATACATATTCACTAGAATCATTTGGATAATTGCAGCCCCGGTATTGACAATCTCTACTGAACAAAAGGTAAAATGTAACGGTTAAATTGAAAACTAGCACTTTATGAAGGTGGAATAAAGCATTTAGAATTTTGGAGATGGACTAATAATAAAGAGTTACTCAAACGTGTGAATGAAACAAAACACACATACAGGTCTGCCTTTGAGGAGGAAACAACATTACAACAAGTAAATTTTTGCGTAATATAGGACTTTTAAAATATTATTGCATTCTAGGCTACTGGTGCTGGTTGGAGAGTCCTTTGGTACATAATGGCTGCCACATTTTCTATCAGTCTGCCCCTGGGCTAGTGTGGCTATATGGAGAAGTGGTTGCAGAATGGCATGAAGCCCCTTAAAAACACTGTGAATTTAGCACAGTATAAAAGTGAGCCATTTTATTGTTGCTTGATTTATTCCTTGCATGTCCTTTCACGTGATCTGCTCCTCTTGGTATGTGGAGGTTGAGATAGAGCCATAGGGGTCCACTACAGTCTGCGCACATCGGACCACCGTCACGAACAAGAAGAAAACCAGAACAAAGAGGAAGAAAAGTGCAAATCCCAAATCCACATCCACCTCAAACTGGGAAAACGGATGTGGGGCTTGATGGTCCATTATGGTCCAATTTTCAAGTTAAAACTTTCTCCATTACTCTTCAGTGAAAGTGCTGCTGTGTCCTCACATTCTTCTATAAGACATAATATAGAAGACACATGTAAAAATATACATGACATGTCATATACATGAAGTACAATAACAAAATATCTTCGATGGAGCTATGAAGATAAATTAAATTATGATTTTTAAAATGACACAAAATTGACTCTTGTGAGCTTTAAACAATGTTATGATGCTGCTATCTCATCAAAAACATACCTGGAGTTGTGTTTTGTTTCATCCACATGTTTGAGTAATCCTTTATTATTAGTCTGTCCACATCTCCAAAGCTCAAAATGCTTGTGTTCCACCTTGTGATGTCATGCAGATGTAGTTTTCATGTTAACCTTTTACCATTTAGTTCAGTAGCGATTGGCTATTCTAGGTCAGAAATTATCAAAATAATTCTAGTGAAGGTGTATGGAGTTTAAAAGCACATTGGAACAGAGTGTTTTCCATTTTGCTGAAGAACTCAGCTTAAATATGCAGGGTTTGTGTGTATAACATGTGTAAGTGAAAGAAAACACAACTCCAGCTATGTTTATCTAGGTATAGATCAGAAAATCGTGAAATATAGACTCATGAACAACATCTTCAACAACTCACTCTTTCCTCCATGTGGCAGTTTTTCTTCCTGTCATCTTCAACAGTCATGGCTTTTGAGTCATCTCTCTCCCATACTCTAAAGTTCTACCGGAGCTGCAGATAGACCACATTTTGTGTTTCTTAGCAGGCAAAAAAAACACAAACAAGTAAAATGACACAACAATTTTAAAACTACTGTAGTGTCTCACCATTTACTTTGTGTTGTAGCAGTAGTTCAAGCAGTAGTTTTTAAAGCTCTGACATGCTTCTCTCTCTCTATTCCTCAACATTAAACATACAAACTAAACAACCACTGACTGCACAGACATCCAAATCCACTGTATGCTCCTATTCTCCTGTACACCTGCACTTTCTGACCTCCCCTCGCCCGAGTAAAGCTCTTTATTAATACTTAAGGAGGAATTGGATAACAGCCTACACGGTTCACAAGTGTATCAAACACCCTGAGTCTTTGTCATCTCGTCAAAAGGATATTGGCTGCTGTCGCTGGTTTAAGCTTCACACTGACTGAGCACACAAACAGCTCCATTCATTACATAAGGCTGTAATAGGCTATTCAAAACACGGTGGGGCTTAGAGAGAAAGGAACACCTAGATTTAAGCTCTACTCAAAGATGAAGTTGGCAGGAGACAGGTAACACACTGTATGTACACATGGTAGAAATATGACATATGACAGTGGGTCTCAAACAGTTTACACCAAGTACTTACTTAGACTTAGACTGCACAGTGAAACTTTTCTGGAAGCGAGTCTGCCACCTGCTTGACTCCATGTAGATTTTATTGTTTTATTTCTTTAACTATCTCCATGGATTCAAGCAGCCACATCATCAGGCCACGTTAAAGGCCAGATCTGTGGAGAATCCATGGTTTTGTGATAGTTTTGAGAAATAAAAACTTTTATGATTGAATAAATGCAAGATATTTTTGTTTAATGCCATGCTGTGGAATATCCCAGGCAAAGCAATAACAGCAGACCCTCCATGAGAAAAGTTACACAGTGCACATTTACACAAATTTTATTGATTCACAAGGAAGTGATTTGATTTTCAGGCTGCGACCACCATCAAGTATATAACAGGACTATTCCAGGTCTAATTGGACAAAACAAAGGCCTAAAAGTTGAATACATCACTTCCATTTCTACTGTTCTAAACAAGAAATTATCCAAAAGTGGGGGGAAAAAAAAGTGGGTAAAATGAACTTTAAATTAGGCAAGCCACATACTGAGAATATCTTGTCCAAGTATTACCACCTGAAGGAGCCTGTGTACCTCCACGACATGCACCATAATTTGAGAAACATAAGCATATGAGGTTTGCTGTACAACAGAATTAAGTATACTTTAGTTTAATAAGCTAACTTAAGTTGTCATATCAACAGTCACAATACATTTTTGAATGATCCCTACTTTGACATCACATTATGCGTTTTGTCCTTCTGTAATAATAACAGTTTTTAAAAGTTCAAATCTGTTTACCTGAAATCATAAAATTATCTTCCGTAATAGAGTAAATGCAAGATAATTTAATGCCTTACTGTGGAACATTAAAGGCGATGCAACAACATTACCGTGGACTAGAGATAGACTGATATATCAGGTCGATATTTTAGCAAAGTGGCTATCTGCCTTTTTCTGTTTCTAGTAGAGGCTCATATTTTGTTTGGTCCAACCAGATGCCAAAAGAATAAGTATAAAGTTTTATTTGAGTACTTTTGTGTAACACGGCATTTAAACAGTTTTTACTATAACAACATTTCTACAAAATTCTAATTAGATAATTTAAGAAAAATAATAAAAATCAGCTCAAAATATTGGCAGAATTTATCAGTTTCTCTGGATCCTCTCTGGAATGGCATCAACCATGAAAAAACCCATATCAATTGATTTCTACCATGGATCTAGAAAAAGTTTCAGAAAAGTTGATACATTGACTTCTTTCATTTGTCTCCCATCACTCATGTTTTTTCCTAACTTTCTCTTCAACGTCAGCTCCTGTCAGGCCACTCTCCAGTGTATTTCTGAGGCTTCCTAAAGGGCTCCTTGCCTAATTGCATATGTAGCAGGATCATTTTACCGCATGGCCTGGCCTCATCCTCTGCTCTGCTCTTGTCAGCATCACTGTAACAATCTCCATTTTAAAGTGGTAGGGTCAATTTCCACTGCACACTCGCATCTGCCTCCACAATTTAATCGCTAATGCGGCTTATGTTACCACTCCCTCAGGCACGGTGCCCTCCTCCCTGTCCCAGGCCAAAGACACTTGCAGGACAATACCAGGATAATAGTTGCTTGTATCCATAGAGATGATGTTACTTTGCCTGTAATGTTCCATAGCTTGGCATTAAACTTCTATCTATATCCAGTCGTGAAACGTAACAAAGCAAATGTAGTAAAGTACAGTACTTAGGTATACATTTTGATTTTCTGTACTTTGCGTAAGTACATTTTAAAGTGAGTATTTCTTACTTCACTACATTTGAGAGAAGGTATCTGTATTTTCAACTTTCAACTGAACTATTTGTACTTTACTACTGAAAAGTAAAAGTATTTTTTATGATACAGTAGTTTGAGATCTGCTGAAAAAGCTGAGAGTTTATTTTTAGCATGTTCAAAAATAAAAAATATAAAAACAAAGAAACAGCTAGAATAAAATGTTTGATTCAGTTGTTTCTGAGTACATTTTAAACAGGTACTTCAATACTTTTACTTGAGTAGATTTTTTTTCATGTGATACTTTTACTTGAGTATTTTTTGCTCCGGTATCTGTATTTTTACGTAAGTAACATTTTCTGTCTCTGTGGAGACAAGCAGGTGATCTGCGGAGAGGCGACCCCTTTCTTCATAGAGATAAGCTTTTGTGGTGAACCATTTACCAGAAAAGTTCCTAAGTGCACCTTTAATGGCACAAATGTTCACACTTCTCAACATTCGTTGTGTAAACTAATACAATGGTTGCGCACCTTTGGGTTAAAATAATATCACAGAAGTTAAAGTAGAAGTACTGTAATATAATACATGTATCAAAACCAATGTATCCAAAAAGTAACTGTACATGTAACCCACCGCAACCCACTTCTGATTAATGGAAAACATAGAAACTCAAACTCATCATCTTAGTTGGTCTAGGTCTTGGCTCAAACTCAGTCCTTAATCCTTTGAGTCCAGGCCAAGTCCCTGTGAGTGTGATCCAGTGCCATCTGATATAGTAATGAGTCTATGGTGCCATCCGGTTCACACTACACCAACCCACCAGCCCCCGATGACAGGAGGTAATAAAGGCATTTAAAAAGAGGCACTTTATTTGATAGCACTATAGAGATCCTTAGATGAGTATTTATCTGAAATACTTACACATAAATACATAAATTGGTCAGAAATAGCCTTGGGATCATAATTAAAAACGTGTTCACATAGACATAATTTGTTTTTGGACAGGTGCAGTTACATGGGAATTACATAAAGACTTTATTAAGGTGCATTGTGCAACTTTGCTGGTGGAGGGCCCATCACCTGCTTGTCTCTATGGAGATGTTACTTTTTTGCCTTGATTATTCCACAGTATGGAAATAAACTTGGTAATCACAATGGAGAGAGATTAATGATCTTGATTCATCCATTGACTGCTTGCATTGAAAAAAAAATGACAGTCATTGTGACCAACTGTTGAAGGTACAAAGAATTCCTGCTGTCAGTTGGATTTTGCAAAAATAGTATTGTGTCATATGACTTGTTTAAATTGTGTTGATTGTATGTTGTGCATTGTTTTAATACAAGTTAAGTTGAAATGGAATTTTGTGGTGGTTTTCATTATTTTACATTTGTAAAAGGAATTATGAACTACAATGACCACAGCATTTACACTGTATTTAGTGAAGAAAGAGTTACTATTGAATAGTGTAACATGAAGAACACTACACTATTTCTACTTCATAAAGTGTTAAAACATAGCAATATAGAGTTATTATTTTTTCACTATACACTAGTGTAAAAAAATCAAATCTTAATCAGTGTCAAATTCAACTATGAGGAGTGTGGTTACATCACTTTACCAGTGTTGAGCCTTCTACACTTTGGAAAGAGTAGTTTTAACTCATTTTATTGTGGACCTCATATGACATGGTAAAAGTGTTAAAATTAACAATATCAGAGTTGTATTAACACTCTTGAATTTGCTATGTACATAACACATTTAGTAAAGTTTGGTCTCATTTTATTTTTGTTTGAAGGAAAATAAGTGCTCTCTGGTACAAGTTGATATCAGAAATTGGCAGATATTTAAATCTTTAGTATCCAAATCAGTATCGGAACTGAAAAAGCTTGACCCCTACAACTTCTCCTTATTAAGCGGTAAGACAATTATTGATAAAATATAACAAAAGACAATACACAGAATCATTTATGATTTAGTTTTGAATTTTACATCTGAACAACAAAAATAAACATTATTGGAAGCACTTCAGTCGGAGGCAGGTGATTGGTCGACATGATCTAAGTTACAGACTACAGTTTATGAAGTACTGAACCGAAATGGAAGGCACTTTAAATATAGTTAGATTATGTAAACTAAACTTTAGCAAAAATATTTCCTCATTTGAAATCAAATTGAAATTATTTTGCAAAACCTCAAAATCTTAATAGAAAATGCCTTGATAAATTTGTATCTGTATTTTTAAAAAAAGATATGAATAATTTGAGCTACTACAGTAAAACTAAGTGCCTTCTTGAAACATTATTCTTGTTTATAAAACTTAAAGTGCATGTTTAAATGTGAAAGCAACACTGCTATTGAAATGGTACAGACTTTTCCAGCTAGTAATGAATCAATGAAGGTTATTTTTTTTAACACAAATTGCTCCCAACTTTGCATCACTGATTCAAAAAAAAAAAAAAAAAAAAAACATTTAAAAATATACGTAAAGCACTGTGTAACCTTTCTGGTCTCTATGGAATGTTCTACAGTATGGCATTATACTTACTTATCTCTATGGAGACAGCAGGTTACGTGTCAGAACTGCAGAGACGAGCTCACGCATAGTAAGAATGTCTGGTTTCAGGGTGATAAAAACCCATGTTATTGAGTAAATGCAAGTTCAATGCCATACCAGGACATTCCACACAAAACAATAATGGTTATGGTAAATGGTTAAATTTTTATATAGCGCTTTTCCACCTACAAAGCACTTTACATCAAGAAACCACTCACCCATTCATACACCAGTGTATGCAGACACTAGAGGCAAGGTGGGTTAAGTGACTTGCCCAAGGACACAACAACAGCACAAGCACAACGACAGAGCAATGACAGCATTGATTCTGTAGGAGTGGAATCGCACCGCTAACCTTTGGACCAGTGGACAAACACTCTTACCAACTGAGCTACAGTCCATAGACACAAGCAGGTGGCAGATTCTCTACCAAAAAAGTTACACACTGCACCTTTAAAACTAGTAGAAGTAACCTAATGTGTGTTGTTCGGCAAAGTGTCCCAATGGACAAAGAAAGATTTTTACTGCTAAAACCTTTTCTTGGTCATAATAGATATAGTTTTGAAATAAAACCCCAAATATTTATGCAACACATCTTAACGCAAAGTGTTAAGCTGTTAACTGCAGTTTTATTGTCCATAAAAAAGTTTGTTACTCAGTTTAGTGCTTTTTTAACACTGACAAACTCTGACAGTAATATTACTTTGAACATTTTAAAGGTCCTATATTACGCAAAATTGACTCTTGTGAGCTTTAAGCCATGTTACAATGTTGTTACCTCATCAAAAACATGCCTGGAGTTGTGTTTCTGTTTCATTCACACATTTGAGTAAGTCTTTATTATTAGTGTGTCTACAGCTCCAAAGCTCAAAATGCTCCATTTCACCTTGTGATGTCATGTAGTGGTAGTTCTAAAGTTAACAGCTAAGTTTTACCTTTAGTTCAATAGAGATTGACAATTCCAAGGTTGAAATTATCTGAATGATTCTGGTGAAGGTGTATGGAGTTTAAAAACGCTGTGGAGCACTTCCTATATTACCATATGACATCACAAGGTGGAACAGAGTGGTTTCAGTTTGATAGAAGAACACAACCTAAATATACAGGGTTTGTGTGTGAACTGAAATGAAACAAAACACAACTCCAGATATGTTTTTGATAAGGAAATAACATTATAACACAGCATAATACAGGCCCTTTAAATTAAATTCCAGTAACAAATCAAAAGCTATATAACATTATCAGGGCTGTGGCAACTTGGTCGAGAGCACAAAGTATTGGCAGAAATTAAATTAAAGTTTTTGTATCTTGATAGGTGTGGCTTCTTTCGTTGTCATGATTTTAGTGTACAACTCCGTAAGGCAAAAAAGTGTGAAATCCACTCTTCAAAATGTTGTTTATTGAATGCTATTGTACTGTTTTGTCTTCTTAAAATGTGCCAGGTCTCAAATCTTTGGCTTTCAAACCATAAGCAGGAAATCTCTCCTCCTCTCCTTTTCTCTGTCCGATCAGTCTGTCTTCCGGTGGTTGTTGTTGAGTGGAGTGTGTCCGTTTTGCACATGTCCGTTTGTGGATTTCTCTTTGATTACGTCGCTCTCGTCCTCAGATTCGGATTCCTCCCTGTCACTCCTCTCATCTTCAACAATGTCCTGGCAACCACAAAAAATACAATCGGGTTACAGTAGAGAAAGTTAAAGGTGCACTGCGTAACATTTGCAGTGAAGAGTTTATAGATTAAACCGGTCTATCAAGAGGGAGACAAGCATCTTACAGCACTACGCTACATTACAGTTCAGATCTGTGGAGAGTCACCCTGTTCAGACAAGGAATTATGGTATTTTTGAGCAATAGAAACACCCATAATGAATAAAGCAATAACATCTCCATATAAACATGCAAGTCTATATGGAGATGTTACCAGAAAAGTTGCACAGTGCCCCTTTAAGACAAACACATTTTGAAGTTGCACTATGTAATAACTTTCTTATGTTGGTTCCACCACATGCTTGTCTCTATGGCAGGGGTCTCCAGCCTTTTTCCTCCAGTGAGAAACTTCTATAAAACAGAATTGCCAGAGTGCTACAGATTTTAGTGATCACAAGAAATTTAGTAAATACAAGAGCTTTACATGGGAAATAAAATTTGATATTTACAATGGAAATAGGCTCTTCATTGATCGAGCTACTTGGAAAGGGGTAGAGAGTCCAGTATGGAGACCCGTGCTCTATGGAGATGTGATTGCTTTGCCAGGATTGTTACATAGTATGGCATTAAACTGATCTCCATGAAGGCATGCAGGTGACCCAATAGGGTAAAGTTATATTGTTAGCAATAAAAACCTGTAATACAAAAATGCAAGCTAGACAAGTTTAATGTAAAATGGCAGTAAACAAGCTGTTTGAAGAAGAAACATTACATAGTCCACTTTAAGGAAATATTTGAAAATGTTCAAATAATTTTAACAAATTGGGTTAAATAAATAATAAATATATAGACTCAAATCCTAGGAAGTTCATATCAAGCATTCTCTGTAGTTCAATTTCACTGTAAACAAAATAGAAAATAAATGCAGACATTTGAGCAAAAGGTTGACTCTGCCATCTAGTGTTCAGTGATTCTTTAACTTAAGATCAGGCTTTAAACTGGATCAAATTATGAACTTTTGATCAGTTATGGCAACAGTTAACCCTTATTTGTGTCTAAACAATTCTAGAAAATCAGCTAAACATAGGTCTAGCTCATTCATGTTTTTGTTCCTCCATTAAAATGACTAACCCTACTTCTTATATTTAGTTTTGTAAATGAACTTATAAATGCTGTATACTGATACATATTTTGCTTATCTTAAAGATGTTAATTTAATGTTCAATTGCTTTTTACTTTGGTTTTTAGAATTGCTTTAAAGTACTATTGGGCTTATAATATTGGATTTCTTCATGAATCAATAAAGTTTGACCAAGTTGAAGTCTGTTAGAATTGTATAAAGATCATATTATGAAGATTATATTTAATAGGCCCATAGTAGTCTTTCATTATAAAGTTTGTGTTGTAATGTTTCCTCATCACAAACATACCTACAGCTGTGTTTTGTTTCATTCCCACTTGTTTATCACACAAACCCTGCATATTTAGTCTGAGTTCTTCTCTCAAACTGAAAACACTTCTTCCACCTTGTTATGTCATGTGGAAATACAGGAAGTGCTCCACTGTATTTTCAAACTCTATACACCTTCACTAGAATCATTTGGATGATTTCAGCCCTAGAATTGCCAATATCTATAGAACAAAAGGTAAAAGGTAGCTGTTAACTTGAAAACTACATGACATCACAAGTTGGAACAGGGCATTTTGAGCTTTGGTGATGTAGACAGACTCATAACGCAACATCAATCAAACATGTATGAATGAAATAAAACACAATTCCAGGCATGTTTTTGATGAGGCAACAGCATTATAACATGGCTTAAAGCTCACAAGAGTAAATTTTGTGTAATATTTAATCTTATTTGAGCAGGGATTTAAATAAAGTTTTCAATTATAAAGAAAAAACTGAGTATGAACATGTCTTCGATGAAGTCTATTATAATTGTATGACAATTCAAGATAATATTTAATTTTCTTTTTCAAATATAAAAATCTGAGTAGAAACATGTCTCCAATGCCTAACAAAGCCCTCTTGTCCCCGTCCATGTCCTCTCTGAGTGGATACATACATTTGCAGGGAGGAACTTGATGACCATCCGGATAATGAGGGCAGCCCAGAAGACGTGCAGCGCTTGGAGCACAAACAGCAGCCCGTTGAAGAAGTAGAACCCGAAAAAGGGCGGGTACAGGGTCAAAGGGTACACCCACGTTGTGTGAATGATCCTGTCCCAAGACACAACAGAGAGACCAGTCAGAAAGACCACCTACTCCCCCCTCACCCCGTCTCTCCCCCATCAAAGGGCCTTTCACAGTGGGACAGAGCGTCTACTGTCATCTTTAGGATTGTTAGCCAGTGTTGTTGTTGTAGCAAATGAATGACACTTCCTTCACTGTGAAGTTTTAATAGGACAGAAAAATATTTGTACCATTGTGAAAATGTTTGAAAATTGATCTACAAATTCTCAGATAAAGTTTAGATTTACTTTAAAGGTGCACTATGTAACTTTTTGGTTGCTTGTTCCTATGGACGCGTCACTGCTCTGCCTGGAATGTTCCACAGTATGACATTAAACCGCTATACTTCATATTTATTCAATTACACATTGTTTTCTAGCTCAAAAATATCTAGAAAAACAGATATTCTGACTATGAGCGTGGTTGCCTCTCCACAGATCTGGCCTGTAACTTGGTCTGGCTTGGTATCCGTGAGGATAGAAAGGTTTAATGCCATACTGTGAAACATTTCAGACAAAGCAATAACATGTCTATGGAGAAAAACATTTGACAGAAAGTTACGTAATGCGCCTTTAATATAATTTGCACATTTTTGCACAAATATATTGCTGCTGAAATGTACTTTTACTTTGTTTTTGAGTCTACTGAAATTCATCAATTTATTGTCTAATTTCATGCCAAGGAGGTGATGGACCAACAACCAAAAAGCTACATAGCACACATTTAATCAAGGACAATAAGAAAATAAAGCTTTTCATTTTATAAGCAAAGACAAAATTGACCACCACATTCTTAAAAATGTGTTTATGTGACATCCAAATACTTAAGTCCAAGTCCAACACTAACATATTCTTTAGATCATCACTATAATTTCCCATTACAGAATCCTAAGAATTGTTGGTTTGAATACGCCTAAATTTTCTTGAGTCATGTTTGAACTGCTGCTTCTTCCTAATGATTATTGTGCAAAAGTTTATGTTGTAACCATTTCTCTGAGTCACTGTGTTTACCAGAATGGCAGGATGATGAGGCGAGTGATGATAAAAACCACCGCAAATACAGTGAAGATGAGGTTACATGTCTTCCTCCAGCCCGCGTAGTTGAACATTTTCGCTGACTGTTAAGAAAAAGGACAAGAAAAAGAAAGTTTTACAGATATATTTGATATTAGCATCCACCAGGGGGCAGTAGAGTAAACAGGACATAGGGTATACTAGTTTGTTTTATACATATTAACCCACCAGAGAACAACTATTTATGTCTATATATGATTTTTTCGTGCTGTTTTTATGTGGTGGACTAACGGTGAGCCAAAGACTTTTTATTTTTTTTTTACCTTGGTAGGCAGTAAGTATTCTACACTAGTTCTTAAGCAATTATAATGTACATGTAAATTGTGTCCAAAATAGACCAAAATGTTGTATATAGTTGCAAATTAGACATAACCTAAGAACTGTTTAGACTAACACTAAAAGTTTAGACATCTGTTTGGTTTAAAAAAGTAAGTAATTCTGCATAATGTTGTTTATTTATCAAAAACATATCTGGAGCTGTGTTTTGTTTCATTCACAAGTTTAGCACACAAACTTCACTGTTTTTTTTTTTTAACTCCATACACCTTCACTAGAATCACTTGGTTAATTTCAGCCCTGGAATTGTCAGTCTCTAAAGAACTAAAGGTAAAATGTAGCTGTTAACTTGAAAACTGACACAACATGACATCACAATGTGGAAAAAAGCATTTAGAGCTTCAGAAATGTAGAGAGCTAATAATGCAAGATTACTCAAACATGTGTGAATGAATCAAAAACACCACTCCTGGTATGTTTTTCAAGAGGTAACAGGCAGAGGTAGAACCAAGTCATTCTGTTGCAAGTCTCAAGTAAGTCTCTTTGACCTCAGGTCCAAGTCAAGTCCCAAGTCAAAGACAGGCAAGTCCAAGCCAAGTCTCAAGTCACTGGCCAATAAGTTCAAGTTAAGTCCAAGTCGTCTACATTTCAAGTCTTTAAACCAAAGTACCAAATATAGCTTTGACTTTTGCAATCTATATGAATTTTAAGACAAACTGTACTAAAGACATAGTATATTTATATATGAGTATTTATTGAGTATATAAGAGTTGTAAAAAATGTTGTTAATTTTTCCTTTTTAAACGTCTTGACAAGATCTTAGTGTGAATCACTATGGTCAGAACAGAAAAATTCAGATTTAAAAGTGCTTCCCAAGTCTTATCAAATCACGGGCCTCAAGTCCGTGTTAAGTACCAAGTCACTGACCTTCAAGTCCCAGTTGAGTCCCAAGTCTTAGTCCATTTTATCAAGTCAAGTCTCAAGTCCTAAAAATCAAATCAAACTCAAGTCTTACTCAAGTCAAAGTTACAATTTGCAAGTCCCCACCTCTGGTAACAGGATTAAACCTCACAAGAGCCTTTTTTGTGTAATATAAGACCTTTAAGGAAGTAAGCAAAAATGGTCAACAGAGTAGTTATTTTATAGTGGTTTAATTTCCACCTTTAAATATGTTTACAATTATAATGTAATTAAGCTACTAATCAAACCTTAACATTAAAAGCGCCCTATTTTCCCTATACATCACCTCACTCATCTGTACAGTATAGTACATATAGTACTCTGCAACTACTGTGCCACTATTGGAGTCTTATATTTCCCTTGGGAGGAATAAAACAGCCAGTCTAATCGCTCATGTTATTATTTAAACTGAATCAAATCTGTTTGAAACGGTGATTATCACTACAGCCTCTACTGGGCACTGTGCATGGAGAAGGGCACTTTTATGAATTATGAAAGGTAACACAGTCATTAAATTAGCAGGAGATTATTAAATATATAGTAAATCTTAGCAAATTGGAATTTACCACACATAATCCTGTCATTTGAAGAATTTAAGTGAAGTATGTAGGCTAATTGAAGATTATGTAAGATTTATAAAGCGTTCAAGAGGTCTGCCATTAGGAACTGTTTCTATTCAGCTGTTTTAGATGCATGTTTCTGTTTACAATTAACAAAAAGGGATACACTGATCCAGGTTTTTCAGTTCCAATATCAATACCAATACTGTCTTTAAGTATCTGTTCATATCCGATATTAACCAATACCAGTGTAGGGATTTTTCTGATTTCATTATGTAGCTATTGAAATTTTGTTGGACATAAAACCGGTCCCTGGAGCTAAAAAGGTTGAGGACCACTGCTGTAAGTAACTCCTACACAGCTTTGTATGAATTAAAGTTCAAATCATGAGAAATCCTGAGCCTACATCAATCAGCAATCAGTCCAACCAGGACATTTCAATTTTCCTGAATCAGCATCAGACACATATTCTACAGTAAACCAGTATAAGTATCGGAGCATCCCTATGACAACATATAAAATGTTGATGTACTAGATTAGATTTATTAAAGATTGACTTGGCAGGAGACATTACATGCTAATCTTGAACTGCATCAGCCACAACATCAGAAAAAAGAAAAAAAAACAAACAAGCAAGCTCTCAAAATAGACCTATATGAAATGTAACAGAATAAAATTGTTTTGTGGGTTTTTTTGTTTTTTGGTACTATTTTATGACTAAACATAAAGTGTAATATGTTTTCTTTAACCAGCTGGAACAACTGCTTATAATAATAATTTAGCTGTTCTGATGTATCGAGTCAGAATATAAAGCAATTATAAACATCTAAAGTTTTACAATGATATTTTATTATTTTGAAATAATATTCTCAACTGGCCAGTAGTGGTAGGCAAAAATATTAAAAGATTGATATATTGTGACACTAAATTTGGTGATGCAGTATGGATATCTTGGGCTGCTGTGTCAATATATTACCAAGAGTATTTTTTGAGTATTTTAGCTTTTTTTTTGGTGGGGTTTTTTTGGTGTGACTTTGGTGTTTTTGATGTTTAATTCTGAAGGAGAGCTTTAATTTCCTTGCATTCTCACAGAGTCTCACCTCCATCAGATAATCCGCTGCATCGTGCACCAACATGATGAGAGTCCCGGCCCGAATATAGTTCACGAGCCACGAAAAACCAATGAGGGAGATAGTGGCCACGTGGTGAACAATCTGCTCTTTAAAATCCTACACAGCACAGAAATAGATTCAGAAAATACAGAAGCCAGTTCAGTAACATCTCAGTATCATCATAGAAAAAAGTGATTTTAGAGTAAAGGCAGGTAGTCTGAGGAAGGACTAAAGATGAGGTAACAACATTTTAACATGTTTTAAAGCTTCAAGAGTCAATTTTACATAATACAGCACCTCTAAACCAGTCCAGGACAATATCAGGACTAAAAAAATGAACTGACTGAACCAGAATTAACCTTGGCATTAATCAAGTCCAGATTAAGACAACCAATTCTGCATCATATTAAAAACAAGATGAAATGAAAATTTTTTGCAGCTCTATACACAAACTAAATCTGGACACAAACTAGTTCATATTCAGAACTGAACCAGGTCTAAACTAAGACTAAATCTAAATCCAACTTTGATCTGAAAAAGACTTCTATGCGTCATTAGTGGATCCACAGTGACCTCTTATCATGTCTCTAAATAATCAAATAGGTTACATATTTACAAATGATTAACTTTAATGATATTTTAACACAGTACATTTTGAGTGATTAGACAAAAATAGACTCTCTTATAATGAGGTTACACACACTTAGCGTTTATAGACTAGTTTGACCCACTAGTAGTGATTGGAAAAAGCACATAAAATGAGTGTTGCCTGGATTTAAGAGATTAGCTGTAATAGTACAGTTATGAAACCAGAGCTCACGAGGGTCAGGGGTGCGAAAGTCCAATTTAAACAAAACTGAAAATGGTCAATGGTTCAGTGTGTGATGAGAAAAAAAATCTGTGATGTATTAACTTAATGTTGGTAAGAGGTGAGATCATACAACTTCTCCGAGCAGGAAATCATATTGTAATATAACTTAAAGGGCCCATATTATGCTATTTTCTGATCTATGTTATAATGTTGTTTCCTCATCAAAAATATACCTGGAGTTGTGTTTTGTTTCATTCACACAAAGCTACGATGATTTCTGACCTCTACTGAACAAAAGGTAAACTGTTAACATGAAAAGTAAATTATGCATTTACAGTTATGGATATGTAGACAGACTAATAATAAGGGGATACTCAACGTTTGTGAATGAAACAAAACACAACTCCAGGTACGTTTTTAGAAGGTAACAACATTATAACATGTCTTAAAGATCACAAGAATCAATTACAAGCTGGTATACGGCAAGTTCAAAGCTTTCCCCTTATTTATTTTTAACCCAAGTTGTTCATTGATGATTAGAAATAACTGATTACTGATCTTGATTTAAATTTGATTAATTAATAACAAGTCAATGCCTTTATCCCTTTGACCATTGAGAAGATGTGAAAATATCATCTGTAAAGTTTTTAGACTATCAATTCACTTACACTCACAATCTAGGACAAGAAGGAGCATGGCTGAATTGCTGTTTTATTGTTCTATGTAAATGTGTGTAAATCTTTTCTGTTGACACCTTATAAGAAACATATAAGATTTATATCCAAAAGCAGTTGTCTGTAAACCACTGATTCTCTTTAACTATGGTTCAAGTACTTGCGGGGTGAAACTTATCATTTGTTTTTGGTAGAGCTAGTTTAGTTTAAGTTTATAGAGCATTCCTTCCTGGTTCACTCATAGTTCAGGCACATAGACTGTAAATTGACATACAGCCACATTCCAAATAGGAAATGAGCATAAGGCCAGACATAGTTCTAGTTTGGTCCAGCTATAGTCTCTGGTTTAGACCTGGTTTAGATCTGAGATAGACATACTTTGATTGATTGATTGATTGATAGAAAGACTGTTTTAAACTGCTCTGGTAGCCCAAGACTTCTTATCAAGAGCCTGTTTTATTGTTTATAATACTGTGGTAATGGAAAACACAAAGCACCAGTCTCATTATAAAACAGTTTTCTAGCCGCTAAGTGTCATAATGGATGGTTTCATTTACTTGGACTGAGTATCTTCTTACCTTTCGTTTGACATCTGACGCCACGCTAAAAAGAAGTGAGATATAAAATCCCAGTTCAATCATGTAGTACCAGTACTGAGAGGGAAGCAGGGTCTGAAAATAAAAAAAAAACATATTAGATTTGCCTCATTGCATTGAAATTAATGAATACAAATGAATTAGTTACATGAGTATGCATAATGAAAGATCTAGAGCTAGAAAATCCTCACAATTGAAACACCAGTACGAGAACTAATTGTGGACAAACCCATACTTAACCAGGTCTAAATCTGTATTAATTCAGGATTTAAGCAGGTCTATAACTAGGACTAAACCAGTACTAATGAATGGTTGTAGAATTCAGGTCTAAAGAAATGGGGATTTAAGTGGGTCTCTAAACCAGGACTAAACTAGAAATAAAACCAGGACTAAAATCAGGATTAAATCAAGACTAAACCTGGACTAAACATCTAAAACAAACGCAGCATTCTATCAGATCTAAACTAGGACTACAGCAGGAAAAACATCTACCTAGAACCATTGCAAAATAAACCCTCTCTAAATTATAATAACCTCTGATATACAGTAAAAAAACAAACAAACATTAAAGCATTACAAAAGACGTATTGTGCTTGAGCCTGCTATATTCTAGTAGTTATACTCTATGACACTGTTTATCATTATGTTATAATTTGCACATTTTAAATTGTAATACTCATCTGAAACTACTTGATAAAAGAAACAAGTTTGCTGACTTTCGCATTAGAAAACTGCTGTTGATCTGCAATATGCTGTCTCGAAAACAGGTAATTAAAGATTAAAGATTACATGCATAAATCATTCCAAATTCAACTTCAAGAGGGTAAAGAGAAGTAACACCTGTACCATGGTTAAAAGCTCTGAAAACTCCATTTTGCATAATAGGTCTGCTATATCATACCATTTTTGGAAAGCCTTCCCACATCAGCTTCAGGTCATGAAACCATGGTTTCTGAGGGCACAGGAAACATAATGTAAATGGATTACATTGTAAATATGAGTTGAATGAGCAAACACTTTAGGTAAAGCCTACGACAAATATTTAATTCCGTTCTTCATGCATATTAGCATAATTGGACAAGCTGTTCTACTCACATCGATAAGTACAGCCAGTCCAGCGAAAAAGGCAACAAAGTAAAAGGTAAATCTCCAACTGTAACAAAGGGAAATCACTTTGAGTTGAGAACAAGAGAAAGATCAGAAATACACAAGTCTAGAACATATTTCAGTCAGTGTAAACTCCTCCCTTCTGTAACTGCTGCTGTGAGCCTCATCATTTTGGTCTTAAAATGTTCGTATTAACCCACACTACATGATCTTGGTGTTTTTATTTTGCTGTTTTGCCCATAAATCAATTGGGCTCCAAATTTGCCCCTATATCTGCTAACATCATGAGCTTCATTTGACTGAAGACGTCCCACTCCCTTAGTCCACTTCTTTATCCATTCTATGCTTGAAACCCAGCAATTCAGATATAAGACATACTATCCAGTGCTACAAATAAATAGTGTAAAACTTGAAGATTACTAAAGGTACCTGGCTTCTTGGAACTTTTTGACTTTGCTGGGCCGGTCCTGGTTTCGCCGGCGCCTGAACCACCTCTGGAGCTGTGGCACTGAGAGACCCGTTTGTTTACTCAAACTCTCCAGGGAGCTCTGAGGACAAAAGACACAGCACAGAGACTTCAACACAATCTCCAGCACAAGGCTAGTGGTGGAATGTAACAAAGCAAGCAAGCAACAAAGTATTAAAATACTGTACATAAAGGTGCACTGTGTAACTTTTCAATTGGGGTCCATCACCTGCTTGTTTCTATGAATATGTCATTACTCTGCCTAGAATAAAACAGTATAACATTAAACAGCTCTACCTTAAATTTATGCAATTACAGGTGGTTTTATTGCTCAAAAATACCTAGAAAAACAGGCATTCTGGCTGTGAGAGGGGTCGTCTCTCCACAGATTTGACCTGTAACTTGGTCTGATTTGGTCTCCATGAAGATAGACAGGTTTAATACCATATGATTATATAACATCTCCATGGAGAAAAATATCTGTATTACTTTTACTTTACTTTTTTAGTTAAGTAACAAAATCAAGTACATGTTCCTTCACTGCACAGGACATATAAAAGTCACCAAATATCAGGATATTAAGACCCCAAAATGTGTTTAATTGCAAATTATTTAACACTTATAGTAGGGTTGAACAATTTGGGCAAAACATCAAATTCAAATTTTCTGACACGCCTTGTTATTGTGATTAGATTTGCATCCAGAAGAACTGACCATAAGACTAAAATATGAACTGACAAAAAGACTCACATTTCAGAACATGCTTATGCAAATCTAAACTACAGGGTTAGCAGCTTTTATGCAGAATAAGACGGGACATTTTGCTGTTTGTAGACAAAAATTACAGCACTTAAAAAATCACACCCTCTGCAATTTTGATTCATTTGCAATTAATGTAGCTGCCCTGATTTACAGTCCAATAACGTTTGTACCATTAAAACCTAATACAGCTTACTATTAAATGTACTACTACTGTCCAGGGAATATTATACTGTTCATTTCTGACACTAAACAACAACAACGTTCATAGTATAGCCTTTAAACATATCTTGTCAAATTTGCATATTCTTCATACATTATTATCACTACAAGGTCCTATATTATCCAGTCCAATCCGACTTTATTAATATAGCACATTTAATAAACAAGACACTTTCCAAAGTGCTTCACATTAACTCAGTCAGCAGAATTATGTTCCAAACAAAAGGAACAAACAGAATCAATAGATAAAAGAAAAATATTAAAATCAATGAAAAAATTAAATAAAATCAATAAATAAAAGCAGTACTAAAAAAATAAATAGATAAAAACAATAAAGTGCTCTGTTCCACCTTGTGATGTGATGAAGCGGCAGTTTAGTTCAGTAGAGATTGGCAACTCCAGGGCTGATCCTTTATCAAAATGATTCTAGCGAAGGTGTATGGAGTTTAAAAACACAGTGGAGCACTTCCTGTATTACCACATGACATCACAAGGTGGAACAAAGTGTTTTCTGTTGGAGAGGAGGGGTCTAAATATGTAGGATTTCTGTGTTAAACATGAGAATGAAACAAAACACAACTCCGGGTCTGTTTTTGATGAGGAAACATTGCAACATAGACTAAAAAAAATTGCATCATATAAATTCTAATTTCTTTTAGAGTTTAATTAGCCCTTTTCCTCCCATCTAAGGTAAAACTGTGCTGTTCCCCTTTATCTTGTGCTGCAAGGTGTGGGGACAGAGGATACCTGTGAGGGGTGTTTTGATGTGCGGCCGAAATAGGACTCCAGAGTGGGATTTGCAGAAGCACAGACTCTGGGTTTGTCTCTCACTCCCAGAAGGGCGGCCAGAGGACCAGCTATTGTCCTAAAAACACAAAACACGCTGGTTTAGTTCACTTGTTGTTGCAGAGCAAATACTATTATGAAAAAAAAAACAGATGTTTACATAAAAAAATCTGCAGACAGGATACTTAACTCTAGTTTTTTGTATGTTTTGTTTATTACTCTCATGTCACATACTGAGCAAAGAAGTTACAATATTCATTCACTGTAATAAAAGTTGCCCTATGTACTTTTTCTGGTGGAGGGTCTGTTTAAAAGGGTCCTTATGTTCTTGCGAGCTTAAAGCCTTGTTACATGTTAAGTGTTGTTAGCTCCTCATAAATATACCTGGAGTTGTGTTTTGTTTCATTCACATCTCTGAGTAGCCCTTTATTATGAGTCTGTCTACATCTCCAAAGCTCAAAAAGTTCTGTTCTACCTTGTGATGTCATGAACCACTAGTTTTCAGCTTAACAGCTACCCTTTTACCTTTAATTTAGTAGAGATGGGCAATTCCAGGGCTGAAATCATCCAAATGATTCTAGTGAACATGTATGGAGTTTTAAAACACAGTGGAGCACTTCCTGTATTACTACATGATATCACAAGATGGAACAGAGTCTCTTCTGCTTTCTGAGAGCCTAAACTCAGCCTAAATATGCAGGGTTTGGTATTACATATGTGTGAAAGAAACAAAACATAACTCCGGGTATGTGATGGAGAGAAAACACTATAACATAGATCAGAACAGAGAGTAATATGGGCCCTTAAATACGGTATGCGCTTTTTACTCAAATTGACCCCATGCAGGAAAATTAGAACGTCCTTGGGTGCAGCTAATGACTAATAAAGATATCAAATGACTCGGGAACCATGAATTAACTAGGTAAAACAGATTACATCAACCTCCATACAACTGATGTCAAAAGCGTAGCACATTGTTTACAAAGGCTAAATCATGATAAGGAAGGTCTACTGTTAGCTGTGTGACTCACCTCTCAAACAAAGGCCTGAGTAAAAGGAAGCACAGCGCGATGGGGAGGGTGGCCCACAGATCAGACGTTTGGGGGAAGACTTTGCCATCGCTCTGGTCCTTGAAGTCCGCCCAGCCATGACCCTCTGGAAACCAGATCCAATCAGCACACAGGAGCTCTCTCAACCGGGACAACATCCTACACACAGAACATAAGAGGTTTTAATGGTTTTTATAGCAAAATTAGGCACGTTACTTTTTATAAACTTAAAGATGCACTGTTTAATTTTTCAGGACATGGTCTGCAACCAGTTTGGCATGGAGATGTTAATGCATTGGTTTAAATTGTCAACAGTATGGCATTAAACTAATCTGTCTTATATTTATTTAACTACAAGTGTTATTTTTGCTCAAAAAAATCTTAAAAAACATCCATTCTTATTGTGCCATTGTGTCTCCATAAATCTAACCTGTAACCTGTCTTGCAAGTCTCCATGGAGATTCTTAAGTTTATGCCGATACTGTGGAACATTCTAGGCCAGGGTTCTCCAACCTGTAGCTCAGGAGCTACCAGTAGCTCTCCACCCCCTTCCAAGTAGCTCACCCAGGAATTTCTGAATTATATATTGCGCTGAATAACTCAAATTTGATTGATTAAATGCCTATTTCCTTTCTAAATGTAAAATTTTGATGCCTAATTTTGTGCACTGATAACTGGATCATGGGTTATGTTTTACAGATATCTAACTGTACCTCATCTTCAGCTTACCATGGCTTATATTTACAAAATTTCTGGCAACCGCTAAAATTATTAGCTCTCTGCCATTTTCACTTTACAAAAAGTAGCTCACAGAAGGAAAAAGGTTGGAGACCCCTGTTCTAGGCACATCTCCATCGAGACAAGCAGGCAATAGACCTTTCAACATAAAAGTTATACCTTTAAGAATTCTTAGAAATGCACCAATCCAGCTTTTTCAGTGCCGATTTTGATACTAAAAACTGAAGATTCTGCCGATACCAGTGCAGAGACTGAAAACAGCATTTATTTCCTTAAAACTAAAATAAAATAAGACAAAACTAGCTGTTATTTATCTCTCAAGTAATTACAGACCACATTTATATAAATAATACAAATTCTGATATATAGCCTGTGTGTTTAAGCATTACATAAGCATATTTAATTAATGTACATCTTTTTGCACAAGAGAATTGCTTGTGCATATTCGAATAAATAAATAATAATCTACAAAATAAATAGAGGAAAACTTTGCAGGATGATGTTGTCTGATCTCAATTAAGGCTTTCCTTTAGATAAACAAAAAGTGGTCCCAGCCTCCTGAGAGGAAACGAACGCGAAATGAGTATTGATCTGAGGCAATGGATGTTTTAAAGCTACGACGACACAACTGACTGCACCTGCACAGATATGAACACGCAGCATTTTTATCCAGTGTGAAAATAAAAACAAGAGACTTAGTATTTACTGTCTGAGAGAGAGAAAGAGAAAGAGAGAGAGAAGAAGAAGGGGGACAGGGGGTGAGTGATTTGAGAGAGAGAGAGAGAGAGAGAGAAGAGAGAGGGAGGGGGAGGTGAGAGAGGAGAGAGACAGAGAAAGAGAGAGGGAGGAAGGAAGGAAGAGAGAGAGAGAGAGAGGAAGGAGGAGAGAGAGCATTATTATTACTTAGTATTTACTGTCTGCTGAGAGAGAGAAATAGAGTGAGAGAGAGAGAGACAGAGAGAAAGTAAGAGGGAGACAGCAGGACAGAGAGAGATAAAAAAAAAGAGAAGAGAGACAGACAGAGAGGGGGGGAGAGGAGAGAGAGAGGGAAGAATGGAAGACAGAGAGAGGAGAGAGAAGGGAGAGAGAGAAGAGAGATAGACAGAGAGAGAGAAGAAAGAGACAAGGAGGAGAAAGAGGAGAGAGAGGGAAGGAAGGAAGACAGAGAGAGGGGGAGAGAGAGCGTTATTATTACTTATCATTTACTGTCTGCTGAAAGAGAGAGACAGCAGGACAGAGAAAGAGAGAGAGAGAGAAGAGAGAATATGCGGGCTGAATGAGACAGAGAGACAGAGGGAAAGAAGGAAAAGAGAGAGAGAAGACAGAGAGAGACAAAGAGAGAGGGGAGAGAGGAGAAGAGAGGGGGGCTGGAGGTGGAGGGGAGAGAAACAAGAGCTTGAGAAAGAAAGAGACAGAAAGAAGAGAGAGACAGAGAGAGAGAGAGATGGAGAGAGGAAGAGAGGAAGGAAGAGGGAGAAAGACACAGGACAGATAGAAGAGAGAGCAGATGGAGACGGTGGGCGAAGAATAATTCAAAGCATCTTTCACTGTTGGCAGCTCCCCACACAACCATGAACTCAGCCGACCTCGTCTGCAAAATGCAAAAGCCACAAAAGCTTTTGAGAAAAGAAGCCCGTTATATTTGACCTAGGACTGCACATTTAATTAGATTTGAATCAAGAATCTGTCATTTCTAATTGTAAGTCGTATAGTTATCTTGTTAATTGAGGTGTGTACACTCAACCTTTTATCAGTAAAAGTGTTTTTTACAGCCTTTGGAGGAAGAAGTCTGTAATTTTTTTGTGTTAAATGGAAATAATTTATAGTCTGTATTGTTTATAACTTCAAAGAGGTTCATTTGGGTCTTCCAGTGTTAGATCCAAGATAAAGGTTATTTTTAGGTGAAAACAACACTGGTCTGTCAAATAGATACATTATTCTGTGTTGTTTATGTTTAGAAAAATGACTATGGTAAGATACTTTTTCGCTTTAGATAATAAAAAATAAAACAGATTTGAAAACCTTGATTGATAAATATGAGGAAATTACATTTTCTGTCCACTCACCCTTCTTCAGATTTTAACATGCAGAGTTTGGCCTGTCACATTAATTCATTAATGTATTGATTTATTGTTCAATATATGTTAGATGGAACAATATATTTTGGTGCTCAAAATGTATTGTCTGTATTTTTCTTTGTACTACTGAGAAATGTTTGTTTATTTTTTGTGGTTTAAATCTGCTCTTGGGTTTTTGTGTCAATGACATAAATTTGTTTCAATATTATAATATTTATTTTTTACTCAGTATTAGCTATCATGTCCTAACAGTAGTATTGTCCAAAGGTAAGCCTGTAACGATGATTAGTGTATCGATTTATATAGATGGAACAAAATATTTTTAGTGCATTTTTTTTTTGGAAGAAGTTTTGAGAAGTTTTTTTATTTTATTTTTATATTGTTACATAATAGCATAACATTTGAGCTGTAGAGGGTAGAATAAGTAACATCTGTGGCAAATTTTCAGTTCCATCCTGCCATTTATATGCAGCTCAGGCTTTTTAATGATACTGTATATTTAAATATTGGTTTATCCAGCTTTGTGTCAGTGGCATAATGTATTTTCAGTATTATCGTTTATTACAAAATTTCTCTATTTCTCTATCGTGTTATCGTGGAAAGCCCACCTAAAGGAAACCCGGCTACGCACAAGAAGAACATGCAAACTCCACCCCATCTGGGAATTTGCATGTTTACAAGTCTGATACAGAACATGGGTATGTGCTATTCAGTAACAAGTGTACAAAATAAATGTATTAACCAAAGTAGTTAACCTGTCTCGATTTCATGTGTCCTACAAAGTGGAAGGCAAATGAGGCAAGGGCTGTATTCAAGGGAGAATTATCTGATCTGCCATGAACACTCAACATTTTGTCAAACCAAGTGAACTGGAAACCACTTTAGGGAGCAGGGGCCGGTCTCAGGTCCCTCTTGGTAAAAATGGTCTTTAGTGCGAGGCGGTTTGTGATGATGATGATGTCTTCTGTGTTATTGACCGGAGTGTGGAGAGACTGCTATTTGTCAAAAGAACAGGTCTGGTTTTAGCTGCTAACGCTGAGGTAGTAACTTGGGGCTACAACAGACTTTTTAATTTAACTTTGCCTCATGGCTGCTTGGACAAGAACTGATGAGAAAATACAAGTAACTGGGATGAGTGAACTGCTGTAAGGCTTGTCAAAAGTATCAAAAATCAAATACTAATCGATACTAAAGCTAGTATCAAAATTAGGCACTCATTTGAGAAGGTTTTGATACTAAAAAGGTCACATTCATAGGACAGAAATTAACCTTCCTGAATAGATTTACAATGATCACATGGTAATATAATAAAATAATAATTTATATTTTATTTTACTATTATTTAATGTTGAAAATCACTTCTATTGTCTAAATAAAGACAATGTTTTTAATATCATCGTGGTATCAGAATATCAAGCCTGTTCCTTAGTATTGAAATCAAGTTTGAAATTTTATCATCGTGCGTGACAACACTGTCTAGCCACCACATGGAAAGTAACCTGATTAAGGCCCATTACTGGACTGGCCTCAGTTTCCACAACTCTGAAGTGGATTAATCTAATAATGTAATTCTCAATTCCTCACCCTTCAACAAGGCCACAAAAGTCCAATCATAACTCAGTTCACACAAACTTTGAAAAATGTGTTTTTATCCAAATACACCACCACATCTCAATAAACCAAATGGGCCAATACCTGTCTAAAATACTACAGGAAATATATAATGTCTCTTTGATTGAAAGACTGCAATGCTGGTCCTAATACAAACTTGAGGCTTTATATATTTTAACTCTTGGTTGAACTCTTAAACTCTTGACTTTGAATTTCAAACGAACTGTTTGAAATTAATTTGTATGTATAGTAAGTGTGTTGTATGTATAGTGAGTATGCTGGTTTAGTGTACTTTTGTGTGATTGTTGTTGTACTTTTCTCTGTCCTGTAGATGATTTTACATCAACCTGCCAACAGACTGAAGATGGAAATTAGCCACTCTGGCTATAATCTTTACATATTTACATTTTTAGTGTTCATTCATATGTGTTGTCCCTTTACAAAAAAAACAAACAAACAAAAAAAAAAAAAAAAAAAAAAAAAAAAAAGAAAGAAAAATATCCTTATACAATATAAATAACTAAAATCTTACTTTAATTTCTACTTTCTACTAGAGGCAGCTATAAATGCATACCAAGTCATCTAAAAGTAATACCCATAGACTGTTAGATTTCCAAATAACCATAGTCCATAACCAAAGCGCCTTCAGATTGATACACAAAACACAGTCAGGCCATGGGTCATAATTTAGGCTGTCACGTGCTTACACTAACGTTTAAGCAGTCATAATTCGCTCAACACTTTTACGTCATTTACGTAAACCCGTGCGTAAAACTCGTGAGGAGTAGCGGCGTGCGCACACATGGCGCAAGCGGGGAGTCGCCCGGACATAGCGGAACAGCCCGAGAGATGAAAAACCCGAACAAGTTATCCACAAAGCTAAAGATTAACGTCGTAACGCGGGTTTAATGAGTAAAAGGATGTGCGCATGTCCTTGCGTATTTTTAATAGTTAAAATGGTGCCAGCAAGTTCACTTATCGCTGGACTACAAAAGTTTTATACTCTGCCCTATGTTTGCTTAGTGCGATATGTATGCGTTTTTTCGTCACTATAATAAGCGTAATGTTCTCTTAATCTAATGTTATCCCTGAGCAAACACCATGAATGCGTTTTTGATAAGGACCCGTTGTTCGCAGCTGCCTAAACTTTGGTGCCAGAGCGGCTCAATCATTTCCTAACTTCAGTCGAGCGACGGTTGAATTGTTTTAAGGTTTTTCATGTCATTTCAAGCCTCATGTTTAACCACAAGGGGCAAAAGACTCCCGTGTTTCTGTCTAAATATAGAAACCTTAGGCTGAGCTTGCTGCAAAGTCTATGATTAGTCTTTAGGACCGAGAAGCCGCTACTGTAATAATTTGAACCAACTTACCTCTCTCCACTATCTCCGAGCGACGCAGGCAGGTAATGGGCGATCAAAATGCACCAAAACGTCGCTGTGGCTCGTCCCCCTTAGCCGCCAAGGCACTTTCATATGTAGCTTAACAAATCGCAAACTTACATTGATGAATTGTTTTTAAAAAAAATACACAGCGGGATCTTCTTCTTTGTGTATCTTCAATGCATGTCCGTGTCGCGTGGCTTTAAAGTCTTCCGCAGCGGTGTCGTGACTGAAAATGAATTTGTTAGAGTTTTGGCCCGCAGTTTGGTTCCCGTTTGCAGACACAGAGCAGAGCCGGGGATATTGAATGGGTTTAATACAAGGCTTTACAGTAGTGGAGCAGCAGACAGAGCAAAGGGCGGGGAGGGTATTTAAAGTGACGAGCGCCTTCAGACAGCAAGGAGTGGTCAGTGGCACTGGGAAATATATAGGAGCATAAAATCAAACCCGAGCATGACATAATGGTAGCTACGCGTCATTATACTAATACTAAAATGGCAAAACTTTGATAAACCGGTTGGTTCACAGTTCACTATTCAATACGGGATTTCAACAGGACACTAGAGCGTTGCAATAGTGTACAAAATTCAGCATGTTATTTTTATGATCCTGCTTCTTACTCTGACAGGCTTAATGCAAATATTAGGTGTATAAACTGAGTTAGCGTCCCTGTGGAGGTTAAATTACCAGTCTGACCTTACCTTTTGTCTAAAACTACACTATGCATTTTACTTTGTAGTATTGTAAAAGCAAAACATGAACATTTAAACAGCTGTAGCTACTTAATTTGGAAGAATAACTAAGACTAACTAACTAACTTTAAGGTGAACTGTGTCTGTCAAGTGCTTTTCTTTATGGAGATGTTATTACTTTGTCTGGAATGTTTCACAGTGTGGTACTAAACCTTTGTATCTTCAAGGAAACCAAACCAGACCAAGTTACAGGTCAGATCTGTGGAGAGACAACTCCGCTCACAGTCAGGATGCCTGTTTTTCTAGGTATTTTTGAGCTTAAAAAAACACACACACACCTGTAATTGAATAATTGTTGGGTAGAGCTCTTTAATATCATACTGTGGAACATTCTAGGCAGAGCAATGACATTCATACAAACAGGTGACAAACCCTTAACCAGAAAAGTTACACCTTTGCATTGCTGTGTCCTATTAGATGCAAATTAGTGAATCAATTTATTTAACTTCACACTGGATATATTCTTCTGGCTACAGTTGTATGTGCTTGTGTTGTGTTCTGTACAGAAACAGCTTTTATGAATGAAGACTAAAACACCAAGTTGGGTGTTATTTGATTGGTCAGTTTTGCTTTGCATGCATAACCATTTTGTTGTTTTGATAGAAAACATTTTAATCAACTCTTGTAAAACTTGCGGACTCTTGTAAAACTTGCAGCTTATTTATTATTCTTATTTTTTTATAACTTGTTGTGCTGCCTTATGTAGGATTTACAGCATTAATGCAGGATTTGTAGTATTCCAGTAGGACTGATTTATGACTGAAGTGTTTTGCAATAGCATTAGTTTTGAACTCAAAGCTTAAAACTTATTGGCCCATTTTGAGGCAATACAAACTTTAAAATCAGCCAATTCCTTTCTGTTTTTTTGTGTTACACGTTTATGCACAAAGTTTTGAGTTCCCCCTCTTTGTAAGTAGAGCTGGTCTCTTGTTGCAGGCGGTAACAGCCATCATTCTTCAGACATGCCCGAGGCAGCTCAGGCCTGTTTCAACACATCGGACCCAGCCCAAACTCTAGGCTCACTCCACACTGGATCCCCCTCTGCATTCATCCTCTATCTGTGCAACCATTTACTCAGCCATACATTCAGTTTGAGTAATGTAAAGCGAGTTAGCTCCAGTTAAATAACTTCATGACCTATGTAACTTTTCTGGTGGAGGGCCTGACGCCTGCTTGCATAGTGTTTTTGGCGAATATAGCATTATAAAAACAATAAAAGGTGATTGAACTACATAATGTCTTAGCAATTAAAGGTTCATCAGCTCATCTCCATAGTGACATTATTGCTTTGCTTGTTCCACAGTATGACATTAAACAGATATATCATGTATTTATTCAATTCCAGGTGTTTTTATTTCTCAAAACTACCGCAAAACATGCCTTACTTTGAGGAGAGGGACTCCTTCTCCAGAGATCTGACCTCTAACTTGACCTGGTGATGTGGCCTGCTTGTCTCCATGGAGATAGTTAAATAAAATGTCATACTTTAGAAGGGAAAAAAAAACAACATTAACACCTCATAGAAATGTAATAACCCCTCTTTAGTATCAGCGACATAATACACAGCTATTTGCATCATTCTAAGTTACAGTAATTGTATATGTGATATTTTACAGTGACCTGGATGGCCACAACTGTTTATTTTGCGCACATCTGATATTATAGTCTTGGTTGGAAACTTAATATTGGTGTTTACTTAATGCCAGGTACATGTGGCTAAAGCAATTCTTTCTTAATTCATCATGAACAACTTAGTCATTAAAGGTACACTAAGTAATTTTTCTCTACGTGCATAGAAATGTTACTGCTTGTGTGGAATGTTGGTATTATAGTATTAAATTTATGTCTCCATGGAGATAAGTAGGGGACACACAGATGAGGCTGGAGAGCAATAAAAAGACCTGTAATTGAATAAATGTAACACAACATTACAGTCGAAAGTAATAACATCTCCATGGAGACAAACAGGAGGTGGAGCCACAACAGAAGATACACATAGTACATCTTTAACGTCAGATTACACGGATGAAGGTGAGTGACCAAATTGTAATGAAGAAACGCTCCATAAATCCAGCATAAATAGATTACAATACACATTTTCTGATTTTTCTGCCCAGTTGTTGTTGACGCAGTACCTAATTTGTCCAAAGGGGAGCAGCAGTGTTCATTGAGGGTTTGAAGTCTATTGATGACAGTAAATTTCTCTGCTTTTGCTTGTTTGATATGATAAAGCAAAACTTAGATATTAAACAGCGCAGTTGAAATGCTGCAGCACTTAGTTTTACTCTTTATTTTATACTTGATAATTGTTGTGCATTGAAGAGCCAAATTAAAGGTTCTATATTACACAAAAATTTACTCTTGTGACCTTTAAGTCATGATAGAATGTTGTTACCGCATCAAAAACAGACCTGGAGTTGTGTTTGTTTCATTCACACGTTTGAGTAACTCTTTATTATGAGCCTGTCTTACATCTCCAAGAGGGTTTTCAGTTTGAGAAGCAAGGGTTTGTGTGTTAAACATTTGTGAATGAAACAAAACACAACTGTGGGTGTATCTGTGATGAGAAAACAGCGTTGTAACATAGATCAGAAAACAGAGTATATGGGCTCTTTAACAATTGAATATTCACTGTGAGATTATAAGGTTCTATTATATCTAGCTATAATTGTCACTAACCAATCTGGCCAGACCTGTTGCAGAAAAACAAGATTTTCTGAGTGAATCATGCAGCAAAATAACAAAATGAGTAATGCAATGTCTCTGTTTGGTCTAATACAGATGCTATGACACTTTTTGTTATAATTGGTGGTAGAAGATTACATAAGTAAAAGTAGTAAAGTATTGTACTTATGTAAAAATGTTAGGTATTTGTACTTTTAAGTGGAAACCCTTACTTTTACTTCACTACATTTGAGAGCAGGTATCTGTACTTTCCACTCCACTTCATTTTTGACAAGTTGAAGTATTTTTTTATTATATTTGAGACCTGCTGAAAAGGCAGAGGGTTTATTTTACTTTTAACATGTTCATGGTTTGGGCTTCAATTGTTTCTGCTGAACAAAACTCAGCACAAATCTTTATCAAAATCACTGCATTTGAAGTTTTATTAGATCTCAAAATCTGTGCAAAATACTTTTACTTTTTACTCTGTAAGTACATTTGACAGGTACCTTAATACTTTTACTTGATTAGATTTTTTATGTTGTACTTTTACTTTAGTATTTTTTCTTTTTGCCAGTATCTGAACTTTTACTTAAGTAACAAAACTGAGTAAGTCTTCCACCACTCATTTTGTTAGTGTTAAAGCTAACAGTTACATAGGTGGCCAGAGTAAATATAATAATGGGATAAAGTAGAAATAATGATAATAATAGAAGCCAGTTGTAAGAAAAACCACACACATTTTTCTAAATTGTACTTTATTTTCTTTTAAAGACATATGTTTTAAAACAGCGATTGTAGAGAATAAATAAAGAAACATTAGTTGTTGTTTTTTTTACTTCCATAGGTACATTTATGTAATTAAAAACTCTATAATAAGTGTTTTCATTGTCTTGTAGACCACTGGAATCCTCTTTTTTCTTCTTTTGATAAATAAAAAGAAATCATCACATCTTTCCCTTTCATCAAATTGATTAGCAAATAAATTAAACGTAAAAAATCAAGATAGAAAAATTCCCAGCCCTTACTTTTACTTATGCTTTTAATTTGAAAAGTATTGGCAGGAGTGAAGCTTACTTAAGTTACGAAGTTGGTCAGAGCGTTTTGAACCAAGGTATGTACATAACAGTGAGAGATTTCGACGTTTTTTCTTTTCATTAATTTACTTATAAATAATAAAACTAACTCTACGTAACAATATTAGCCATCATCGTACATAATAGTATTTTCTTTTCCTTTCCGCTGCGGAGACTGGCCTTTTGTTTGAAACGCCACAAAAGTCACACTATACAGTAAAACCCTGTTCATTAGATTAACATCATTGATATGCATTGATATATTAACATGTAGAGTATATTTACAGTAAGTAGAAATGGTCTGGCTGGAATGATCAGAACTCGGAGCGAATCGGCATCACCTCCAAACTGAGTCAGTTGATGTCGTTGTTGATTTTTAAAAAGCGCATTCATGTAACAGACGGCTGTTTGTGGAGAAGTGGTTTCAGCTCCTGTGCTATATGCTTGGTCAAGCAACCAAAAAAGGCAGGGACATCCCCAAGTGGTTTTCTCTTGATTTAACGTGTATCGTCCTGAAATAAAAGAAAGTGGAGAGACTTTTAGAGCAGTTAAAAAATTACATTATATTATTTTAAAGGAGTGCCCCACAAAAAAAAACAAAAAAAAAACACAGGTATAACATTATGACCACCTGCCTCATATGATAGTCTGATTCATCAGCCGGTTTCACCTCACGGAAACCGTCTGACCTCGCAGCAATTTGCTCAACAGTAGGCTGGTACTTTTTTATTTAACCAGTCACTGCTATTTGGTCGTGACGTATGTAATGCACCGGAATGCTCAGTGGTGTCCAAATAATTGCAGGCTTCACAGCTCTCGCTGATTGGCCGGTGCGCAGTCTACAACTTCCGGAGTTCTTGCAAACTGTGTATTCTGATTCCTGACCTAGTCACTGGAGAGAAATTAAATTTAGCGAAGGCACAAGGTGTTATCTTTCATATTTGCAGTTTTCTCCTCTTGTACACAGCTGTGAGAAATATCTGTATTAACTATATTTATTTTCCTTTCTTTTCTTTTTTTACTTGTACATATACATTTATATAATTATGCCTTATTTAACATCGGTCTCATGTTATATCTGCTACTTATTTTTAATTTATTACTACCATTTATATTGTTATGATGTTTGAGCTACTATGTCCAAATAATTTCTCTTGTGGATCAATAACTCTTGTCTAAGTCTAAGTCTAATGTCACTACTCATCTATTAATATTGCAATACCTACTCCACTTGTTTGTATAATGTATGTACTGTATTATAATTCTTCCTCAAGGTACAATGTTCATGGTTTACTTTATTTTCCCTTGGGAGAAATTGTGATACCTCCTCAACTCCTTTTTACAGTATATTGTTGCCTTTTATTGTATTTGCCTCTGTTGTTTTTACCTTATTATGTAAATCGTTATTTATTACCCTTATTATTTTCAAGCATTCTATAGAGTTGTATAGGACTATTAGAAAACTGTATACAAACAATTTCCCTTTTGGATGTATTTAATTTGTCTGATCTAGGCCTTATATAAAAGCATATGACATAGATTAATATCTATCAATTTCAGCACAGATTCAATCTATTTCATGTATCAGCTCTCATCTATTAAATCAAAGACCACCAGATCATAAACTAGAACACTGTTTCCCAAAGACTGGGTCAGGACCCTCAGGTGGGTCGCAAGAGATTTTTTGGGGGTCGCCTTGTCACGATTTGCATGTAGGTCTGCAAAATATAGTACTGACACTGATAATGACACTGACACTGACTACAAAAACGCAGACAGGCCCACCTATCTCATTAGAAATGTTAAGACATGTTTTGTATAATTTCTAATCTTTTTGTGATTATTTTATTTACTATTTTGTTCCAATATTGCTGCTTCAATTGAATATTGAAAAGAAAAAGAAATGGGCTACATTTAATGTCCAAATAGGCGACTTATGGATCCTTTTATTGCTGGTTCAATTACTGTTTTTCATTGTTTAAAACTTGAGCAATACTAATTGTTCAGAGACACGATCACTCAGTCAACAATAAATATCCTCATTTATGTTCAATAATGGTCAAATCCACCTTTGTTTTGTGATTTATGAATAGTCTATTGACTTGTGTCACGAAGGTTTGTGACTTCTAAAATATGGGTCCCCTGAAAAAAAGTTTGGGAAACACTAGCCTAGAAAGTAAGAAGACTCCAAAAAGCTGGAGGTTTGGAGGTTTGGAGGTTTGGGAAGGTACTTTATTCGCTATTAAACTTAAAATTAAATACATTTCTAACCTTTTTTGTCAAACACATTTCTAAAGATAAAATGCTGACTCCCTGTATCCAGCCATTAACAGGTGCCATGACTGAGAGATAGTCTGTGCTCTACTTCTGTGTGCGGTCATAATGTTACACCTGATAAACGTTATTCCGTGTGATGCCACTAGGGGGAGTGTTCAAACAGCGCCCATGCATCTCATATAGTGACAGAGAAACGCTCAGAAAATGGTCTGTCATGTCTTTTGGCAGGCAACTTAATTCAGAACATGCACAGTAGGAATTCTGGTGGGAGACGATGCAGAATGATCAAAATACAAGATTATATTACATTTATTCTAATTAGATTCACAGCAAAGTCACTCAAACTGTGTGCACAAATGTATTCATAACACAGTCAGCTGCAAACCAGGCATCTCCAGATAACAGAAAAATATATTCAGCAGTTTTTTTCTCAGAGCAGTTAAATGTATGAGGAAATGCAATGCTTCCTAATGATACTTTTATTATAATTTAAAGAGCCCATATTATGCTATTTTTTGATCTATAATGTTGTTTCCTCATCACAAACAGCCCTGGAGTTGTGTTTTGTTTCATTCACACACGTTCAAAACAAACTCTGCATGTTTAGGCTGTCAAATTGAAAACTCTGTTCCACCTTGTGATGTCATGTACATACAGGAAGTGCTCCACTGTGTATTTATTATTCTTGGCAAATACCACATCCATAGAGAACAATTCTCAAATACTAAACCTTATTTTCCATTACTGCTAATCGAAATAAATCCTTATTTTCAATCGATTCATCACTTATCCTGCAAAAAAGCCACGTCAGTAACCAACCTATACGAAGACTTATTCACAGTTAGATGTTCTCCTCATCCCCCAGTTCAGTCGCTGATGCCTCTTTCATTTCATTAAGTTACCCTTATTAGGTTTGATATATGGTCATTTATTTTAATTTATGTTCCCATTGTTTTTTCCTCTTTGTTTTGAATGATTTTGAATGTTTGCTGTATGTGTTTTTATTGTATAAACTGTATATCTAAGTCAATAATAAAAAAATTTAAAAAAATGTTATATGTAATAATGTAATGTAATAATTTGGATGACTTCAGACCTGGGAGTGACAATCTGTTAAACAAAAAGTAAAAGGCAGATGTTAACTTGAGAACTACCGCTTCATGACATCACAAGGTGGAACAGAGCATTCTGAACATTGGAGATGTAGACAGACTGATAATAAAGGATTACTCAAACATGTGTGAATCAAACAAAGCACAACGACAGGTATTTTTGATGAGGTAACAACATTATAATATAGATCAGCAAATTGTGTAATATGGGTCCCTTTAAGGTTTTATTTATTTTAAAAATTTTTTTTATTGTGCAATATATTTTTTGAGTGTTCCAGAATTCCTACAAAGGGATGCAGTTCCTCATCAGCAGCAGCATTAGTGTCATTAAAACCAAAACAGATTCACCAAAAAAACAAACAAAAAAAACCCCCAAAACCAGATGATATTAAAATATTCACTTCAACAGAACGTCATTTGGTACAGCACATATTGTATCTCCACAACTATTCAAACACAGCACTTTCACAGGTATAAGTAAACACGAAACTGGTGTTGATTTTTCACTCCACCGGCCCACACGATTACTGTACCATCAGCCGCTAATGTAATGTTACAATATCACAAAATATGTTTAAAATGCACAAAACAAAAACACCATATTCAGGCACAAATTCACTAGGAGCTCAAACAAAGGACCCCGCACTCGTCACCAAAACTACAACCACACCAACCGACTAAACAGGGAGAGCGAGAACGATAATCATGACAGACAAAAACTCAAAAATCAATGTTGGAAAATGGACAAATGGGTAGAATTTGAAGACTTCTTAAAAAAAAACAAAGCAATAATAATAAAATAAAATAAAAACTATGTCATGATGATCGGTTTCTCACAGATGCCGAGGGGGCAGTTGATCAGTTTTCTGCAAAGTTTCATCCCATGACAAAATAACATGTAGGGGTGTAACAAGTCATTATTGCAGTATTTTGTGTATTTAGCTTTCAGTCTTTAAAATGTTCACTTTGTGTTTTGGATTCTTCAATAAACTGGCAGCCCCTTGGTGATGTGACACATTTTTAAGCCAGATGCTCTTCCAGACACATTATGATTAGTACAAGGAATATGTGTAAAGTACATCAATTCATACTGTGTCACTTTTCTGGTGGAGGAATTGCACCTGCTTGTCTCCTTGGAGATTTAATGGTTAATAGTATTATATTACCTTACGTTTATTTACAATACTGGTCAAAAGTTTTAGAACACCCTAATTTTTCCAGTTATTTATTGTAATTCAAGTTGTACCAGTCCAATGACGAGCTTGAAATGATACAAAGGTAAAACTGAATAGCCAGAGGTTAAGAAAAAGATAAAAGAACAAAACACAAGTCCAAGCTCTGCCATAACTACCTCAGGAAAAAAGAACAAGATGGTAAGCTTGAAAACTTGGAGTGTCCAGCACAATCTCTGAACTTAAACCCCACTGAGCTGGTTTTGGGATGAATGGGACAAAAGAGTGAAAGCCAAGCAACCTTCAAGTGCCACACATTTATGGGAACTTTTGCAGCAGACTTGGGAAGAACTTTCTGAAGAATATTTCATTTCTTCTGTAAAAAGAATGCCACGAGTGTGTTCAGCTGTTATATCTACTGAAGGTGGACACTTTCATGAATCAAAAGTTTAGAATACGTTTTGGTCAACAGTAAACAGTAAAAAACTGGAAAAAGTGTGGTGTTCTAAAACATTTGAGCGGTAGTGTACATACAGGGATTTTACGGCATTCTCAATGTGAGAAAGTTCGACTCTCCATAGATCTGAACCGGGGGTGTCACCCAGAGGTGGCACCAAGTCTTTGTTTTTCAAGTCTCAAGTAAGTCTGAAGTCTCTGACCTCAAGTCCGAGTCAAGTCCTAAGTCAAATACAGGTAAGTCCAAGTCGAGTGTCGAGTCACTGGTCCATAAGTCCAAGTCGAGTGTCGAGTCACTGGTCCATAAGTCCAAGTCAAGTCCAAGTCAAGTCCAAGTCGTCTGCTTTGAGCTTCAAGTTATGCCAAGTCTTAAAGCCAAAGTACCAAATATAGCTTAGATTTTTGCAATTTATATGAATTTTAAGATAAATTGTACTTAAAAAAATCATAGTATATTTATATACGAGTATTTATAGAGTATATAAGAGATGTAGAAATGTATTTAGTTAATTTTTCCTTTTTAAACATCTTGACAAACAAGATCTTAGTGTGAATCTTTATGAATAGAATAGTCAGAATAGAAAGAATTCAGATTTAAAAGTGCTTCTCAGGTCTTCTCAAGTCACAGGCCTCAAGTCCGAGTCAAGTCCCAAGTCACTGACCTTCAAGTCCAAGTCGAGTCCCAAGGCTTAGTCCACTTTATCAAGTCAAGTCTCACTTCCAAGTCCCCATCTCTGGTGTCACCTGTCGTCTCCATGGAGATAAGATAGTTTAATGCAGTACTGTGGTATACATCTGTAAGACAAGCAGGTGGCAGGCTCTTCACCAGAAAAAGTAAGTAGTATACCTTTAACATCTAAGTAATCAAATAACAGTAACAATGTATTAAATGAATTGTTACACCCCTGATAGTAAAAATAACTGTGATGATTATTTTTCACAGGAAATCCACAAGGTACACTTCAAACACAGATCCACGGCCAAATAATAAAAAGACCGCTATTTGCAAGAACCATCACATTGCAATACTGCATGTGGCCACAGCAACCACCCACCACAGCCCATTCAACTTACAACGCAGTGAGAAGAAGTGAGAAGAAGACACACGCGTTAGCCATTTAGCCACTTCTCCGCGATTTAAGAACTGCTCTGGATAGTGATGAGGTGGAGTTTTGTGGAGGGAAAAATGGCAAATGGCACAAGACAAAAATAAATAAAAATAAATGGGAAAAATAAAACAAAATTATATAATGGTGGACAGTGTAGAAGCATTCATTCCTGTGACAAAACACTGGTTAGACATGAGACAAGTTTGAGTACTGTTCAGAGGGCTTGTTTCAAAAAGGCTGTGGAGAAAATGACTTAATTGAGCACTAAAAATACAGAAAATAAAATACAGAATAGACCCCTGTAAAGGCACAGTGAAAATAATTAAATATAAAAAATTGCCAGATCAGACCCAAACCCGAATCCAAATCTGATCTAGTCCCTTGCCCCCTTCTGGGCCAGTAAACCCTGAAATCTCAAAAACTGTTCAAATATATTCTAAGATCGACAAAAGTAATTTGTGTATATATATATATATATATATATATATATATATATATATATATATATATATATATATATATATATATATATATATATATATATATATATATATATATATATATGAATATAGACTAAAATGAATAGTTTTATCCTCTAAGTTTATTACTTTTTTCATTCACATAAAATAAATTAATATAATTTATCTCACGTTATTAAAGTATATTTAATTAACACATTTGTCACACTGGTTTCAGACTGTAAGCGTGCAAAAATAACACCACTTTAAACAGCACTGGTCCTGTCCTTGTAATGACTCTGTGGACATTTAGAGCAAAGCGCAGCCTCATTAAAGTTAATCTAGTGTGCACTTATTGACTCCTTCAGCTCTGTGCAGAAGACAATTACATAGTTAGCCCCAAATTACAGCCAATCCAGCTGTCTATCAATCTTCTCCAGTGCCACTCATGTCCTATAGGTTAAGTTTAACGCTGAGCTGGAGGGCAGGTCAGCTTTTATGGTAAAATTTGCCTTCTACAGTCAAAATACAGACTGAACTTAGTACTGTATACTTAGAACTTAGTAAGTGTTAAAGATACTATATTACACAAAATTGACTCTTTTGAGCTTTAAGCCATGTTATAATACTCTTCCCTCCTCAAAAACACACCTGAAGTTGTGTTTTGTTTCATTCACACATTTGAGTTGTCCTTTGTAATTACTCTGCATTTCCAAAGGCCAAATTTTGATTATGTAACAGCATTATCACACGACTTAAAGCTCACTTTTGCATAATATATAACCTTTAACAATACTGGAGGGAAATCCTGCTTTAGGATTGTTGTGTCATTATCAAGACATTATTATCATTTCATTTATATTTTTTCAACAGCCTAGAATCATAATTGGTCCCTGCACTGTATCTGAGATTATGTCTCCAGCTTCTGAAAAGTTCTGAACATAAACTGAAGCTTGTTGGACACACTGCCCTCACCTCTTAGTCTCAGTACGGTCGGTTGGCGTCCTTGGGCCTTTTGAGCTGCACCTTCAGCCTCTTCATCCCGATCTGGAAACCGTTCATGGCCTGGATGGCAGTCTGGGCGCTGGACGGGTTATCAAAACTCACAAAACCTGAAGGGGCAACAAAAAAGTACTTTGGATAAGCATTTTATTAAAGCATGTCCACCATTTATGGTATTTTTGCAATAATCTGTCACAAACTTATAACCTTTTTGTGAAGGTCAGTGTTTTTAATATGCATTGTCCCTGACAAATAAACAAATAAACTAAACTAAACTAATACAGAATTCTTGTATAATATGAAATTGTCAAATTTGTCAAGTCATGCAGTTTGGAGTGAACAATCAAGGCAAGGTAGCTTAAAAGCTGCAGTTAAATATTAATTCTAAGGTTTGTTTTGTTATTACATTTGAACATTTGAATCTTAAATCAAACAAATTGTTCTTAAAAAAATTATTTTGATCCCTCACTACAAATAAGAAAAGAAAGAATACTTTGAAAATGTATTTAGTTACAGAATACTGAACACCTGCATTAAAATGTATTTTGTAATGAATTCCGATACAGAGTGCTGTATTCTGAATACTCTGAAAGCTTTCACGTAGGATTACATTTAAATTAGTGTAAGCACACAGCATAGGACTAAAAAACAGTTGTATATTTGTTTCTTCGTTATGCATTTATCGCTGATCAGAGAAGGAAAAGTCACGCATGCACACACCACCAGAGCAGTGTTTTATTTTATTCTTGTACATGCAGTCTGAAGCCTAAATAGTGAGCAAACACTGCCATGTATTTTAGAAAAGTAACTCTACCAGAATATAGTTCCTCAAAATTTGTATTCAGAATATGTATTCTTGGTACATGTGTTCAGTCACTTCCCAACACTGGAAATATTTCTCAAAACTATTTCATAAACGTTTTTAGCAACACTTATTTTGGCAACATGAATATTATGGGGGAATGAGAGATGCCAGGTAATACATACACCAGTATTTATCGTGCTGCACGGAAAACACAGATTATACACCTCCTCTATGTTAGAAACACTCTTGTATGACAATGTATTCTCCATCATTAGGACAATCACATTATGACTGCAGACAGAGTGGGAGGGAAGGAGAAAAATAGAGACGACGGTAGAGGTAGAGAAAGAGAGAGAAGAAGTGAGGGAGAGAGAGAGGGAGAGAGAGCGAGCGAGAGAGAGAGACTGGGAGGAAAAGAAAAAGAGAGAAGGGGGATCACTGGAGAGAGAAAGTGATATAGAGGGAAGGAGAGAGAGAGAGAGAGAAAGAGAGAGAAGCTGGGAGAGGGGGAAGATGGGGGAAGGAGAGAGAGATCAGTAAAGAGATACAGGGAAAGAGGGTGAAAGGGAGAGTGGGAAACACAGAGCGGGGAGGGAAAGAGAGAGAAAGGGAGAGTGGGAAACAGAGAGGGGAGGGAGAGAGGGAGAATGGGAAACACAGAGAGAGGAGAGGGAGAGGGGAGAGCAAGAGGGGAAGAGGGGAGAAGGAGAGATCAATAAAGAGATGCAGGGAGAGAGGGTGAAAGGAAGAATGGGAAACACAGCGAGGGGAGGGAGGGAGAGAGAAAGGGAGAGTGGGAAACAAAGAGGGAGAGAGTGAGAGGGGGAGAGCAGAGAGGGAGAGAGATCAATAGAGAGATAGAGAGGGTGGAGATAAGTCAACTCAGGCTACGACTCCATGCGTATATGAAACTGTATATGAAATGTATGTAATGTATTATAGACATCGCTCATACACATTATCATATTATGAGCACAGACACTCACCGAAGCACTTGCTCTGGTTGGTGGCGCGGTCGACGAAGACCTTGGCGGAGATGACGTTTCCGAAGGGCAGAAACATCTGGAGGATCTCAGAGTCTGTGAACTCCTGGGGCAGGTGGTAGATGAAGATGTTACAGCCTTCGGGACCTGGAGAAAGACAAAGAAGAAGTCCAATATGTAACAGACGAAAAGCGAGATATGAAATTGTAATTGGTAATCTGATTAATCATTTATACAATTAACTGTATCAGTGCTTCTCAAACTGTGCGTATGTGGATTCCTCTGCAGGAGGAGTTTAGAATCAATTCAATTTACATTTTTTACATTTGAGTTAGACCTGGGTCTGAGTAAAGTATGACAATAGTTCTGATTTATGTTAGACCTGGGATAGCCCAACCAAACAATGACAGTCCTACTTTAGACCTGGTTTAGACATGGTGCTACTCAAAAGACAGAATATTTGCTTAGGTGGTGCTTGGTGTGAAAATTTGAGAACTACAGATCTATATAAAGAAAATTGTTTTGGTGGCAATGCACACACAAGTATTAATATAAGAAGTCACTGCATAGCGTAATAGTTCATAGTTACTGGTTGTTTTTCTCTTTCGTTGTTTTTCTTGAGGTAGAATAGGGTGGGATGAAATCAATTTTAAAAGCCCCTTATGTGGAGTTGACATAAAACAACAACATTTTGCTGTTACTTGGTGGTGCCCCCCTGAGGTTGTTTTGTTACTCACCCTCTCGTTGCTGCAGCTGCTGGGGCTGCTGCGGCTGCTGTGCCACCAGAGTGGGCTGGTGAGGGAAGGGCTGCCCCACCAGACCATAGGCAGCGGGGTATGTGGCTGCGGAGGGGGTAGAAAGAGAGAGAGCGAGAGAAAGGAAGGGAGGAAGGGTGAGGGCAACACAGAGAGTGAGGAAAGAGTGGGGGAGGAATGGGGGGGTAATTGGAGAGAGATGTTGAGGGAAAAGATACATAGAGAAACAGTGGAAAGAGTAGGCGGGAAGGACACAGAGATGAATTGAAAGATGAAAAAGCAGAGAGATACAGAGAAAGAGGTGAGATAATCAGTCATCTGTGGCTCTGTTTCCATGTGCATATGAAATTACATGTTTGTATACAATTTATGATTTGCATTGATTTACATTATATTATCTATTCAAGACAATAACACTGTAATGTACAATGTAACCAGAAGGAATGAGAAGTAAGAAATTCAATACTTTCAATTTTAACATATACTAACCTTATAACGAGGGCTGAATCAAATTTTAATCAAGATCGAGTATCAATAATTTTTAATAGTTAATAATCAGCTTGCGTGTTTTTTATTGAAAGGTCTATAGCCAATCCTCTGTTACTAAGAGCCTGTGGTTTGGAGCTCAGAGTTAAGACTTTGGACAAAGACATGTTTACTATTTATTTCAATTTATTATGATGATTTACTATTTATTATGATGTTATCATTATTATGTATTGTTGCTGCCTGAAAAATGAATTTCCTTCAGGATAAATAATAATATTATCCAGAGGTAGGGACTTGCAAGTCGTGATCTGGACTTGAGTCAGACTTGAGTCACTATTTTTAGGCCTTGAGACTTGACTTGATAAAATACACTAAAAACCGGGTGTTCGACTTGGACTTGAAGGTCAGTGACTTGGGACTTGAATCGGACTTGAGCCCTGTGACTTGAGAAGACTTGATGCTTCACCTAAAAAAATAAATGTTTTAATTTTTTAAAAATTTCTCTTGATCGTTGATAAATGAGGTGTTTAATTTTACAGGAACTAACTGGAACATGTCCCTCCCACTTCTCTGTTGTTAGCATGAATGTAACTGAAGTACTGTGATAGGGTATCCTCAAATGTACTACAGTAATATACAGTACATTACAGTACAATACAGTAAAAACAGAGAGAACTACAAAGAACATGATCCTTCATGACAAAATATTTGTTATTAAGCACTTTTAAATCTTAATTCTTTCTATTCTGACTGTAATGATTCACACTAAAATCTTGTCAAGACATTAAAAAAGGAAAAAAAAAATGCATTCCTACAACTCTTATATAAAATAAAGCCTTTTTAAGTACAATTTAGTTTAAAATTCATATAATTTGCAAAAATAAAGATTTTTGACTTGAAGCTCAAAGCAGACGACTTGGACTTGACTTGGACTTATGGGCCAGTGACTCGAGACTCAACTTGGACTTGCCTGTATTTGACGTGGGACTTGACTCGGACTTGAGGTCAAAGACTTGAGACTTACTTGAGACTTGTAAAACAACGACTTGGTCCCACCTCTGGTATTATCTATCTGTCAATCTATCTATCGATTGTTGGGGTTAAATTGCACTAATTAAAATGGCATTGTTTATGTTTATTAAGAGACAAAATAAAGTTTACAATGGATCAATATGAGGAAATATATCATGATTAATTTAGTTGTTGCATCGTCCAGCCCTACATTGTAACATAACACATCAAACTATGCACACTTTAGTTTAAAGATGCATTGTGTTAGGGTCCACCATCTACTTGTCTCCATGGAGATGTGATTGGTTTGCCTGGAATGTTCCAAAGTACATTATTCAACTTGGCTATTTTACATTTATTCAATTACAGGTGTTTTTATTGCTTAAATTCCCATGAAAAACAAGTATTCTTACAATACATTGAGATGCCTCTCCACAGATCTGACCTGTATCTTGGTCTTAGTTTCATCTCTGCTTATCTTCATGAACATAGAGGATTTTAATGCTTTACTGAGGAACATTCCAGACAAAGTAATAACTCCATAGCTCCATGGAAACAAGCAGTTGGTGGACCCTCCACAAGAAAAGTAACACAGTGCATTTTTAAAATAATCCCAAACATACTAAGGCATTAAACAGAACAGGGATGTGTTCACAAGTAGATTCTGTGGCAACTTTTTCCTGTGAATCTCAGTTCACACATGCAGCGAGAAAGGCACCGCCACTGTTTCTGATTAAGTTACATAACACGTCTTTACACTGTACTGTGAATATAATTAGGCCCATTGTCTGTCTCAAGGTTCAATGTAGCAATGCATATTTTAATTAGAATTACAGTAAGATACGAATACGTGTGGAAAAATTATTCTTTTTTATTATGATCTCAAAATTATGTTGCTATATTGTGAAAAGCTGAAGGACTGTCACTAAGGGTGCGTTCAAAGTGGTCATATTTTGGACATGGTTTGAACCCAATTTAGTTCTGTTTTAGACTTGGTTTGTTCCTGTTCTGGTCCTTATTTTGTCCTGATTTACTCTAGCTTTAGTTTTGGGTTTAGTCCTGGTTTAGTTCCTGTTTTCATGCAGTGAATGAGCACATGTTTGGTCTGGTCTGAAATAATATGGTGTATTACCTGTGTAGTGCTGCATGCCTGTGTACGCCTGCTGCAGTGGATCCAGGACAGGACTCTGAGCTAAGGATAAAATAAACAAAGATATATTAGTCATTTCACTGATGCTATCTGGAGCATAAAATCAAGATCTAAATATAATGTCTCCCAATCTAAAACAAAATCCCAAACATGCAGGAAAAATCATCATATTTCTGAAAAGGAATAATTTTAAAAAGAATCAAGTTTCTGTAAATATTAAAAATGTTTAAGGTAATTTTGTTAATTTCACTGACACTGTAGTTAGTATGTTTATTGATAATTCCAGGCAAAGCAGTAACATCTCCAGGGAGACCAGGCAAGGACATGGCAGACCTCTCGCATGAAAAGTTACTTAGTGTATCTTTAAAGGTGCTCCTGTGAGCTTTTATCCATGTTATACTATTGTTACCACATCAAAAACCCAGAGTTATGTTTTGTCTCATTCACATGTTTGAGAAATCCTGCATTATTACTCTATCTACATCTCCAACGCTTAAAATGCACTGTTCCACCTTGTGATGTGTGTGATGTTGTAGTTTTCCAAGTTAACAGCTACTTTTGACCTTTAGTTCAGTAGAGATAGAGAGGCTGAAAGTATCCAAATGATTTTAGGAAAGATGTATAGAGTTAAAAAACAAACAGGAGAGCACTTTTTGTATTACCACATGACATCACAAGGTGGAACAGAGTGTTTTCTGTTTGAGAGAAGAACAGCCTAAAGCAGGATTTGTAAGTTAAAAATTGGTGTGTGAATGAAACAAAACACAACTCCAGGTCTGTTTGATGAGGAAACAACATTATAACATAGATCAGAAAATACCATAATATGGGTCCATTACCTTAACACAATTTTATTAATATTGTTTAGTAGTATAATTAGCAGTATTTGTGTATTTAGGAGAGTAGTACCTTGATAGGTGTGGACCCCGTTTGTGTACAGGGTCTCAGTGGCTGATTGGCCATTAGGGGGCGCTGGCACAGAGGGGTAACTGTTCACTGCGATGGGAGGAGGCAGAGCTGGGACAGGTGTGGCTGCGATCGAGGGGGGAGTGCTGGTACCTGCAGGTCAGGACAAAATATTAAAATACATAAATAATTTTAAATGAAAGCCAGGAATGCGAAAAAGAGAAACAAATCTTAAAAGGTCCTATATTACTCAAAACTGACTTGTGAGATTTAAGTCTTATTTTAATGTTGTTACGTCATCAAAAACGTTTTACTTGGAGTTGTGTTTTGTTTCATTCACACATTTTGACTAATTCTTTATTATTAGTTTGTCTACATTTCCAAAGCTCAAAAGTAGTTTTCAAGTTAACAGCTACCTTTTACATTTTGTTCAATAGAGACTGGCTGAAATTATCCAAATGATTGTACTGAAGGTGTCATAGGAAATAAAAAAAACAACAACAAAAAAACAGTGGGGCACTTTCTGTATTACCCCAAGACATCAGAAGGTGGGACGTAATGTTTTCAGTTTGTGAGAAAAACTCAGCCTAAATTTGCAGGGTTTGTGTGTTAAACATGTGTGAATGAAACAAAACACAACATTACAACATAGATCAGAAAATAACGTAATATGGTCCTTTTATTTCTTTCCAAACACAAGTTGTACATGTGTTCATTACTATTGATTCAGTAAAGCAATGCAAAATATTGTTATCAGCTGATTTGAAATTCAAATGTTTTTAAGACACAGTTTCATAGCCTAAAGGTAGTAAAATAATAATTTATGTTTTGTATGAAAGATGTTCACTAAAACTCCTAAAAATACAGTAATTAAGTTTGATCCTGGAATTTCACAAAAAAATCCCAGTTCATTTGTTTTTCTTTTGTACATTGTAATAACTTCAAATATTAAGATTAAGATTTTTACAGTTTGAGGCAACAAAACTGTAAATATTTCAAGAACATTAACTCAATTTCACCATGTCATTTCAAAGTTTACAGAAAAAGAAAAAAAATAACAGAATTACACAAGCTCAGGACCATGGTATAAACCTATCAACCTTTGTAACTCATTTTTGTGCGTAAATGTTAAAACTCACCTCACAACAAATAAAATGAAATCTAAATGGATGTTTTCTGGTCAGTCCTCGTGGGTGCTCCTGTGTCCTCATATTTCAAACCCAAATCGAATCATTTCTGTGTTTTGTTTTGTACCTGAGGAGGGCGTGATGGATGCGATGGGGGTGGCGATGATGCTGCTGGGGTTCAGGGCCGCGAGCTGTTGCATCTGGACCGCTGCTACCGTGGCGACGGGTGAGAGGTACGCCGACTGAGCCACAAGAGCCTGCTGCTGCATCAGCTGAAGAACAAGAGGGAGGAGAAGAGAAAAAGCGTTAGAGGGGGAGTGTAAAAAAAAAAAGAGAGAGAGAGAGAGAGAACATTAGAGAGGTGAGGGAAGAGAGAGAGGGGATGGGGGGGGTAGAAAAAGTTAGAGGGGGGAGTGTGCAAAGAGAGAAAAAGGTGAGGGAGGGATAGGGGGAGAGAGAGTTAGAGGGGGGTGTAAAGAAAGAGAGAGAGAAGTGAAGGGAGGGAGGGGAGAGAGAGAGCTGGGGGGGGTAAAAAAAATAGAGAGAGGTGAAGGGAGAGAGAGGGAGGAGAGAGAGAGTTAGAGGGGAGACTGTGTAAAAAGAGAAAGGGGGGATGGGGAGAGAGAAGGGAGAGGGAGAAGAGAGGGGAGGAGAGGGGGAGAGAGAGAGTTAAAAAAAGAGAGAGGGTGAGGAGAGACAGAGGAGGAATTGTGTAAAGAGACAGGGGGTGAAGGGAGCGAGGGAAGAGAGAGAGCATTAAAAGAGAGAGAGGGGTGAGGAGAAAGAGGGGAGAGAGAGAAGAGAGGGGGGAGAGAGAGTGAAAAGAGAGAGAGGGGTGAGGAGAGAGGGTTAGAGGAGAAAATGTGTAAAGAGAGAGATGGGTGAGGGGAGTGAAAGAGCGTTAAAAGAGGGAGAGTGGTGAGGAGAGAAAGTTGGAAGAGAGAGAGGTGGGGGGAGAGTATAAAGCAAGAGAAGGGTGAATGAAGAGAGAGAGAGAAAGTTAAAAGAGGGTGAAGAGTGAGGAAAAAGAGGGATGAGCAAGAGAGGAGGAGAGAGTAAAGAGAGAGAGAAGTGAGGAGGGAGAGAGAGGGAAAGAGAGAGTATTAAAAGAGGAAGGGGGTGAGGAGAGGAGAAATTTTGTAAAGAGAGAAAGATGGGTGAAGGGAGAGAGGGGAGAGATTGTGTAAAGAGAGGGGGCAAAGGGAGAGAGAATGATGGCAGAGAGAATTAGATGAGAGATTATATGAAAACGAGAGAAAGGTGAGAGTTAAATGAGAGATTGCATAAAGAGGGATGAGTGCAGAGAGAGAGAGAGGTGAGAGAAAGGGGAGATATGGGTTTTAGGTGAGAGATCATTAATAGACACAAACAGAGGGAGTGGGGGAAGAGAGAGGGAAGAGAAACGGGAGAGAAAGAACAAATACAAAGAAAGAGCATATGCAGAGAAAGAGCGGAGGAGAGAGAGAGAGTTACATGAGTTAGATGAGAGATTATATAAATAGAGAGGGGTAGGGGGGGTGTTAGATGTGAGATCATAACCTCAGAAAGAAGGAGAAAGAAGAGAGAGAAGAAAGAGAGGTGTAGAGAGAAAAGGGGCTGAGAGGTGAGCGTGAGGTAACAAAGGATACACCGAGAAATGGAGGGAAGAGAGTGATGTTAGGTGAGAGGAGAGGGGTGAAGGGAAAGAGAGGGATGTTATGTTAGCGGGCATATACAGAGAAAGAGGGAGAAAGGTGATAGAAAGAGGTAGAGTGGAGAGAAGAGAAGAGAGAGAGTGGGATAAGGAAGACAGAGGAGGGGTGAGAAAACGGGGAAAGGAGGGGGTAGACGGATGATGCAAGGCGGTAAAGATTAAAGAGAGAGAACGGAGAGATCAGGAAGATAGAGAAGGGAGAGAAAGGTGAGATGGATAGAGAGAATGAAAAAGAAGTAAGGCTGAAAAAGAAAGAGGAGGTGTTAGACAGGAGATCAGTTAAAGAAGGGGAGAGAGGGGAGAAAAAGAAAGGATGAGGTGTTACATTAGGGATCAGGCAAAGAGAGGAGAAGAAGGTGTTAGATAAGAAAGGAAAGAGAAAGAAAGTGAAAGAGAGAGAGAGAGAGAGGGGGCGGAGGTATTAGATTAGGGATCATGGTCAGAAAGAGCGAAGCGAAGGAGAGAGAGGGGCATTCATTTAAACATGGCTCCAGGCATGAGAAACACTTCAATATAATTTTAGATTATAACACTATATTTTAATTTAAGTGGCAATAAACCCAGATGTACTACAATTTTATATACTTGACCTGTTACGATATGGTATATATTTATATTATGGGGCACATTTAGACGCCATAGCAACCACCGAGGCATGGAAAGTGCTCCTATTCTGTAACATTGCTGGTCACAATTACCGTATCATATGCACATTTAAAACGTAACTAAAATATTTAATTGTTTTTGTATTCATTGTTTATGAGTTTGCATATATATTTCAACTCTTGATGTGAAGAATTGCATAGCTTGTAGTCAGAAATTGGTTACTAGAATACTTCGAAAATGTTTTTATGTATATATTTTTACTTGTATTAAAATGTATATATGCGTATTCTAATACTTGGGCCAGTCCGAGTTCTATATTTATTCTGAATACTTAGAATACTTCTACATGGATTTGAGTTATAGTGTAAAGACGAAACTGCTTTAATAACTTTAATAACTGCTTTGTAATTGTTTCACTGTTTCTTTTAAGCATTTCCTATCAAGGATTGGAGATTGAAAAAGGAAAAATCACACATGCCTCACCACGAGAGCAGTGTTGTTGTTTTTTTTCCTCACCGATTCTGTGCAGTTTGAAGCCTAATTATGCTATCAAATACCACCATGTATTGCTTTGATTTTGGAAAACTGTACTGTGAATGGAAAAGTAACTGTACCTGAATACAGTGACTGAAAATTTGTATTCAGAGTATGTATTCTCACGTATTCAGTTACTTCGAAACACTGCTTGTAGCTCCACCAGCCTATTCAGCGTCCTGTTAAATGCAGATGTACTATTCTTCTTTAAATCGTTAATTGCTATAGCAACAGTACTAATTTTCCATCCATCTGAATCCTATGAAGAGAGATTGTTTACATTTGTCCTGATTTGGGGAGAGCAGACTTCACAGATGGCTCAGAGGTAAACTGAGGATAAGCACTGGCTAATTGCACACTTCACTCCTATAGGCCATTCAGATTCATCAATTTATATAGGCAATTTAGTACTTTAATAAGCTTAATCTCACCAAATCTGGTGTGTAGGTCTAATGAACTATATCCCTGCATTGATATTAATTTAAGCATGAAAGATTTCTTCCATGTTACATTAGTAGTACTGGTGCAGTGCTTAAAGGGCCCATATTACACTATTTTCTGATCTAAGTTATAATGTTTCCTGATCAAAAACATACCTGGAGTTGTGTTTTGTTTCATTCACACATGTTAAACACACAAACCCTGCATATATAAGCATTTTTCTCTCAATGCCCTCAAACAGAAAACAGTCACTAGAATAATTTGAGTAATTTCAGCTCTGGAATTGCCGATCTCTACTGAACTAAAGGACTGAACTGAACTCTACATCACAAGTTGGAACAGTGCATCTTGAGCTTTGGTAATGTAGACAGACTCATAATAAAGGGTTACTCAAACATGTGTAATCCGTGTATCATTTGTTTTTCAAAATAATCCCTTAAATAAAAAAAGAAAAAAAAAAAATTTCTTCATTATTTGTCTCCAAAATCAAAATGAAAATGGATAACGATTTGTTTTTTCAGTTTTCAATTTTGTGTTTAAATGAATAATGGAAAACCAGGACTGAGACCAGGACTGAGACAGGGACTGAAACCGGTTTAGTCCTGGTTTAGACCTGGTTTAGTTTTGGTTTAGACCTGTTTTACTCCTGTTTTAGCCCTGTTTTATTTCTGTTTTAGTCCTGTTTTAGACCTGGTTCAGTCCGTATGTGGCGCAAAAGTCCAGCATCGCAGTTTAAGTCGAGAAACGGCAGTTATCTGTTTTTTCCACTATTCATTTAAACACAAAATCAGAAACTGAAAAAACTAATCGTTATAGGTTTTTTTCATTTTGGTTTTGGAGACAAATAATGAAGAAAATTTATTTATTTATTTATTTTTTTCGTTTTCTTATCTTCATTTTCTTTATTTTGAAAAATGAATGAACAAATGATACACAGTTTATGTGTGAATAAAACAAATCACCACTCCAGGTAGGATTTTGATGCAGTAACAACTTTATAACATGGCTTAAAGCTCCCAATTTTGTGTAATATAGGCACAATTGAGCATAATTTCACAAAAATCTGGTGTAATAGGTCTATTGGCTTATATCTCTACATTGATATTAATTTTAACATGAACGACTTCTGCCATGTTACATTAGTGGTAGTGAGTAATATAGTTGACTTTATTTTTGGTCTAGTGCTTAAACATGTCATTTAACGTGAGTAAAACTTGTTTAAACATGTTTTTTCCACATTATTTGCACAGTGTTAATGATTACAATTTACTTACAGAAGTCAGCAGTTCTGCTTAATGCACTGAATGTTTATGTGGAAGCTTTACGGTTGTTGCCAATGAGCCTTGTCTGGGGCCATTAGCTGTGAGCGCTCAATTAGCAAACAAGTTCAGTGGTGCAGCGTTGCCTCACAATTACTTGAGCTTCTTGTTAATTGTTGAATATTCTATACGTGGATTTAATGAATGAAGTCATTTTTTGCCATCACATTAGCCTCACAAATGGATTTTAAGTAAGTAAATGTGTTTTAATTGTTTTGATTTATAATTCTGTCCTTTTAATGGTCGTTTCTTTACGCTTGACGAAAATGCTTTACATGGTCTGTAACAGCAAAGTCAACCAGATAATTTTTAAGTGCCCTCTATCAATTACTGGTCCTTTAGGTATGACAATGACAATGGTATGGCATCTCAAAAGTTCAGGTTAATTTACATTATATGGATATACAGTGCATTGTAGTCATACACAGTACTGATTCCATTTAAGCATCAGGAAAGGTTCATTTCTGTCATGTTTATTTGGTCTTTTTTGTTACTTGCTCAGTTAAGTATCTAGTTTCGATACTAGTTTTAGTATTAATTAGTATCAGATTTTTGTATAATGTTGACAAACCTACTATGTATTTTTAACTATACGCTCTGCTCTATCAGAAGCTCTTTTAGACTTTAATCTGAGCTTTATTTTTACACAATCTGGCCAAAAAAGAGTTAGTTAGTTGGAACTACAGGTGAGATGATTTGTGCCGTTGAACAAGTCTCTCTCATATAAAACTAGAATTATCCAACTGTTTTTCAGTTAGTCACTCTCACCTTTTTGTGGAAAATCACACCTGAACAGGACCATGAACGCTCGTATTGATCACAGGCTTCTGAAAATGTGCTGCTTAAATTCATTTTGTATTTCAGTCTTGAGTTTTCAGTATGATACATACCTCGATACATAGGCCACGATACAATACATATCTCAATACAGTGAGCTTTCAATTTGATGTGATATATTTCAAATTGATTTGATATGATTCAACAAAAAATAAGGGTTAAATCATGGCTGCAATACTAAAAGTCTTTGTTAAACCACTTCTTGTTCAAAATTAACATGAAACACAAACATTTTAATAATGAAAACAGAGAAAATGTCAAATGTGTTGCATAAACAAGCTTCCTTCCATCAAACAAGCAACAAAGATGTAAAGCTCTAACAAAATAATTTAGTAAAATATACCAAAAAATACTCTTGGCGATATATCGATACTGTATCATCACATTAAACTATACGATATATTGATATTCCAATATTTTTGCACAACCCTAGTCTTAACACTTTTTTGTCTGTGTTTGCTAATGTGTGCATTGTGTCTCCATGGCAACTTCTGATCATTCAACCAATAGAGATACATGTAGAACACCCCCAGCGTGAAGTCACTGCACTGTTTCACTTGTGTATGATATGAACTCTTGAGAGACCATATGATTCTCAGACCTCATCACACACCATTTGGATTGCACAGTATAAGAGTCGTGTCTATGTGTGTGTCTAGGTGTGTGTGTCTCTATGCGTGTGTGTTGCTTACGGCCTGCGTGTAGGCGTTGTAAGCCCCGAGGTGAAGGGTCATGGGACTGATCACCCCCAGCTGTGAGGCCACCTGCTGCATGCGCCTCAGTCCGCGCTCCTTCTCCGAGTCGGCGAACTTCACCACCAGGCTGGATGAGGCGCCCTGAGGAGACGGAGAAAGGAAATTATGGCTCCATCTGTCAGACACTCTTCAGGTCACTGGGAGGCTTGACATTTACAAAAATAACCACACGGAGAGAGACATGGCGTGGTGCAGGGATCAAAATGGAGATGATGAGAGGATGATGATTAGAGAAGTTTTAAAAGCAGGCTTCGGAGTGAACTTTTCCATATTGATCCAGAGTTTGGTATTAGATCATTTAAAACTTTGTCGCTATCAGTGTTTCAACTCTTAATTAAAGGTCATGGGCTTTTTAAACTACATTCCCTTGGACACCTTTGCTTCATATTTCACCTTTGCTTCACACAAACCATTATGAAACCATAGACTGTATATATAAATGGACATAGCTAACCCACTAGGTGCTCTACGTGTTCTAAAAAGAAAGTGAGCATGGGAGCGCTTCAGGCTCCATCGACTCTGTTTCCAATTTACTGAAAAATTAAGTTAAATTTAAGTTGAAAAATTGTCTCCTCTCTTTCTGTAACTGCTGCAGTGAGCTTTGTCATTTTGGTCTTAAATTGTTTGTATTAACCTGCTCTACATGATCCTGGTGTTTTTATTTTGCTATTTTGTCTCTTAATAAATTAAATCAATTAAAGATACACTATGGGACTTCAGCTTGTACCACCAGATGTCGCCAAAGGGCCAAAAAATTCCCAATCTCAACAAAAATTCCAATACCAACAGACAGTCCAGTAAGGAATATGCTGAAGTTCTTTCCAGTTATTGGACTACAGCACTTGAGAGAGGTATCCTTTTGATGATATGCATTGTCAGACAAAACAAATTAGCAAAATAATTTGGCAACATTATTAATTAAACACTAATTTCTCACTTATTTAGAGCATATCATTTAAAAGGTGCATTGTGTAACTTTTCTGGAGGAGGGTCCATCAGTGGCTTTTTTTCTTGGAGATGTTGTTGCTTTGTCTGGAATGTTTCACAGTATAGTATTAAACCTTTCTTAAAATCTCAATGGAGACCAAGCCAGACCAAGTTACAGGGCAGATCTGTGGAGAGGCAGCCCCGCTCACAGTCAGAATGCCTGTTTTTCTAGGTATTTTTGACGTATTAAACCACCTCAGATTTAATAAATGTAAGGTATATCTGTTTAATGCCATACTGTGAAACATTCCAGACAAAGCAATAACATTTCCATGGAGAAAAGCATTTGACCTTCCTCCACCAGAAAGTTACACAATGCACCTTTAATGTTGTTTGTGTGTGTTGTAACTTCGTGTTAAACTGCTGCTCTTGGCCAGGCCTTCCTTGAAAAAGAGGTTTTTAATCTCACTGATGAAATAAAATAAAAAATTATCTTTCTTCTCATCTTTCAAATGCTATCCAGCAGTTTGGAGATATAATCAAATTTTCTTTTATTTAAAAACACAAAACAATACTTCAGTAGCACAAAGGGAAAAATATGAGTATATTTTGGCCAAATTATGCAGGAGAGTGTCCTAGAAAACAGTAGTGATGACTGGGTGGTGAGTCACTATGATTCACGAAGCGCATTTGGAAGATTCAAGTGCGTTTGAGGCAGTATCACAGAGCTTTGTCAGTGTAGTTTATAAAATTGGGGTCAATGGTCCAACGAAAAAGAGGACTCTGGCAAAGAGGTGAAGAGGAGTGCAAGCAGTTTGAGCTGGAAAAATACCAACAAGTAGAAAAACAAAGGTGTACAAGACAGAAGTGGAGCTCGCTGTTGTGTTTGGTTTGGGGACATGGGCTCGTCTAAAAGAAAAGTTAGAGCTAGAAGGGGCAGCACAGTTAAAGAGGGTGTATATGGATGCTGAATTAATTGCAATTAAAGGTCCTAAATTACACAAACCATGTTGTAATGTTGTTACCTCATTGTGTTTTGTTTCATTCACACATGTTTGAAAAACCCTTCATTATAAGTAACTTTAATATTATAACATAAATCAGAAAATACTGTAATATTGGCCCTTTAACATAAATAGTTTGTGTCTAATGCAAACGTGTCTGGAAAAAAAAATGCTATTTGATATTTTCCAAAACCATCCAACTGCTCAGGAGCCCTAATGTTGAGGCTCTCTTTGGGACTGGTTTAGGAAGAAATAGGATTTGGAAAAAGCACTTCAGAGAGTGAGTAAATATTTGATGTTTTGGAGATAAAATCAGAGCTAGCCAACAGCAGTGTTTGAGGCACGTGCACAGAAGTGAAAGTGAATATATATAGGATGCAGAGGTTAGAGACTGCAGACAGGAGGCCTAGAGGAAGACCAAAGAGATTTATGGATTTAATGAAAGAGGATATGAAGTTAGCTAAGTGAGGGGGAAGAGGATGCAGGGGAAATTGTTAGATGGAGCTAAAGATATAACCAAACAGAAAGAAAGAAAACCATTAAGAAAATGGAAGACTTACCGGTAAAGTGCGACTCCCATGTAGAGCGTTGATGGCAGCTTGAGCCTCTGCGTTGGTCTGAAATTTTACAAATGCGCAACCTGCACAAAATAGAATAAAAATACATTAATAAAACGCCCTCCACACAGAAAATACTTTAAAACAGATTATGTTTTACAGCCTCTGCCCCATTAGCTACACAGTTAAAGTCAGGGCTATTATAATGTACATGTGTGATCATTATCACATCATTATTTAACCCGAGTCTTAAGCAGGTTCAAATCATTAACAACTTAAAGATGCACTGTGTAACTTCACTTATGGGGGGTACGCCATCTGCTTGTTACCATGGATATTCAAGTAAGTGTTTTCTGATATTAAATTAAATTATATCTTGATAATTAAACCAAAACCTAAAAAACATGCACCAGGGACTACAAGTGGAAATAAGTTGTAGTGCTACAACCGGGCACAATGCATCTCTCCTGTTAAGGTTAATGTATATTGTGCACTGTCCCTAAAATAAATAAATAAATAAAATAAATAAATAAATAAATAAATAAATAAATAAATATATCTTGATACATCTTAAATTATATCTTGATATTAAAATACTAAGTAAGTGCTTTAGTAAGTAATTAAATATTAGAAAACAATATAAAAATTGGGCACAGACTGACAAGGAACTACTCCAGGTCTAAACCAGGTCTAAACCAGGTCTAAACAAGAACTAAAGCAGGTCAAAATGAGAACTAAACCAGGACTAAACCGGGTCTAAACAAGAAGTAAAGCAGGTCAAAACAAGGACTAAACCAGGACTAAACCAGGACTAAACAAGAACTAAAGCAGGTCAAAATGAGGACTAAACCAGGACTAAACCATGTTTAAACCACGTCTAAACAAAAACTTGACCAGGATTTGCCTACACCCACAATACCCCCCACATGCAGACCACAGAAACTCCCTTTAAAAATACATTAGGTCCCACTGCCACCGCTCCATCAGTTACATTGGTGTCATTAAATATATTTTCATTGCTTCATCAATCACACACCATAAACCAGTGCATGCATCATTAGCCCTGACCCATAAAACCTATTGGGCTATTAGTCATGCTCGGTGCAACAAACGCAGAAAATTCTAGCAACTGTGTTCGAACTGTCACGAGCTTTGATTTACATGGCAAATAGTGGCACGCCAGCATTGTTGTTTCTTGGTGGCGAAGGCGATTTACATTCATGTGATATGGGACATGGGAATAACAGCCCTTGACAGTTTTACAGCCATAATATGCGCGTAATTATGGCGTAAATCATTCCAGCTACAGGAAGCAGAAGTTAGAAGATTGAAGCAGAGGTAATCATGTTGTATTTACTTGTGTATGTTTACTGTTTAGCGTTTCAATCAATGGGGGGCATTTCCAGGCACAGAGGAGCATGGAGTTTTATAGCTTCACTGTACGAGATGTGGGATGTGACCACAGAGTGCAACTTGAAGCTCCAGACTGATATTATTTGGCGAGAATGAAATAGTTTAATCATGTCTTAAACGGGAATTGTGTAACTTTTCTGGTTGAGGGTCTGTCAAATAGTTTCCCAGACCTAAGATCGAAGTATTTTGGAGCTATAAAACTATCTGTAATTTAATTAATGTAAAGTTTAATGTCATACTGTGGAAATGATGGATGATAAATGATTCCAGGCAGAGCAATGACACATCCTTAGAAACAAGCAGGTGATGGATGCCCAACCAAAAAGTTACCCAGTGCAACTTTAATGTGCTGAAAATTAATGAAATTATTTGTTAAATAGGCAACACTAGTTAAAAAGTAATGAATTCAAACTTGTCATTAAATCATTCTATAGTCTGGAGCATGAGGTATGAGATAATAGTCAGGCTGGCGCCACCTAGTGCCTCCGCTCAATTTCATTTCTCTCCAATGACTAGGTCAGGAATCAGAATACACTGGACGGTTTGCAAGAACCCAGGAAGTTGTAGACTGTGCACCGGCCAATCAGTGAAGAGCTATGAAGCCATGATGTCAAACTCAAGCACCTGTCTGGGTCCCTTTTGTGGTACAGCACAACAGTAAACAAAGCAGTCGAGATGGATGTGGACGAAGTCATACATTCTGTGTTGGCAGCGATTCCTGAGATCAAGGATTTAAAGCCAGAACAAAGAGAATGTTTGGTGAATTTTATCAAGGGGAAAGACGTTATTGCCCTTCTTCCTACAGGATTTGGGAAAAGCTCAATATACCAGTTAGCCCTGTTAGCAGCGCATTACATACGTCATGACATAATAGCAGCGATTGGTTAAATAAAAAAAGTACCCGCCTACTGTCGAGCAAAGGAATCCTAATGCTGCGAGGTCAGACGGTTTCCATGATGTGAAACTGGCTGATGAATCAGGCTAATGGGATGTGGCTAGAGAATGCAATATGAAGCTATTGATAGTTTGATAATAATGATAGACTGATATATTGCCGATATTTGGACTTTTAATCTTATCATCTATCGGCCTTAAATCTCCAGCACAGGTCGATATTTTCTTTTGGTCGACCTGCTGCCTAAAAACACACACCAAGTTTTATTTGAACACATTAATGAGAAAAGAAACCTGCACAAAATGTGACTACACTGTTACCTTATGGGTTTGTGGCATTGGTGGAGGAAGTATTGAATTTTGTTATTTAAGCACAGATAAGTACAGATATAGGAGCAAAACAACACTCAAGTACAAGTAAAAGTGTCACATGAAAAAACTCACTTTATAAGTAATGTGCTTTGAGAGTAAAAAGTATGAGTATTTCATGCAGATTTTGAGATCATATAAGACTCCACAAGTAGTAATTTTCATAAAGATTTGTGCTGAATTTTCTTCAACAATTCAAAAGTGAATCAAATAGTTTTTTTCCAGCTGTTTTTATTCGTGTTAAAATAAACCCCTCAATCTTTTCTGCAGGTCTCACACTATAATAAAAAATACTTTTGCTTTTCAGTCCTGTTCAAAAACGTAGTGGAGTAGAAAGTACAGATACCTTCTCTCAAATGTAGTGAAGTAAAAGTAAAAAGTATATACTTCAAAATTTGCTTAAGTAAAGTACATATACAAATTTTGTACAGTGCTTTACTGCTTTTACTTTGCTACTTTCCACCACTGGTTTTCTGTCATCACATCATTGTACAGGCTTATAATATAATATATAACCAACATCAATTTTGTCATGGCGTCTTGATTGCAGCAGAATAAAGATTATACAAACATGAATCACTCTGAATACAACTTCAAGTGGGTACATTTAAAAGCTCTTGAAAGTTGATTTTCAAAACATGTCTCTTACTTTAATAATGCTTAATAATGATTAATAGTAGAAAAACATTAGAGTACATTTAGAATTTAAAACTATTTTCCAATAAAAAAATAAATAAATAAAATAAATATTAATACTTTTAACAGAACCAGGGCAATTAGCTAAAGTCAGGCCTATAAATATAAAATGTACCCAGATTGATCGATCTTGAATATTTGTTTTCATACAAACAGACCGAGCTGATGGTCCCTGACTGTCTAATCCAGAGACTCATTCTGGATCTCAGGCAATAATAGAATCAGCACCATGAATCAGCACTTTTATTATTTTGACTTTAAATGTTGTATGCACAGTAATATAAGTACATGATTCCTCCTGTTGCTTCCTGTGTTCAGATCGTGTATAATGTTGAAAGTGTTAGTGCGTGTACTGGCAGTGTAAGCTCCATGAGTCAGCAGTTTTACCTTTGCTAGTGCCATCAGGGCCTCTCAGAACCGTGCACTCCTCTATGCTCCCAAACGGCTCAAACATCTTCCGCACATCCGCGTCTGTCTGCTGCTTCCCCAACATGCCGACAAACAACTTCCTGTCTTCTGAGGGCGAAGGACAGCATCATGACGACAGAGAAAGAGAGAGACAAAATAGGAATAATGTTTGGAAAATGATGCAAGATTAAAGCACAGGATAAAAGGATGTGATATACAGATAAAGTGAAATAGATTTGTGTTTATGTGTTTGTTTTTTAACCATCAAGAATCACGTCAGACACATGAATAAAAACGATCAAGGTAGAAAAGTTTAATGCCATATTGTGGGACATTCAGACAAAAGTATTTTCAAAACATTTTCATGAAGACAAGCAGTTGGCAGACCTTATATCAGAAAGTCAAGGCAAAACTAATAAAGGATTCCAAGTTTTAAAAATGTTTAGAAAAAAGTAGTTCGATTTAGACAAGAACCATGATTTAATTGCAAGATAATGATAAAATTGGGGATTAAACAAATGTTAACAACAAGTCTTTTTATGCTCTGACACTGTTGGGCGATGATTAGTTAAGTTTTTTTTTTTTTTTTTTTTTTTTTTGAGGGTTAGGCAAAATAAATAAAGTTTTATGCATCATTTTTGTGTAATTCATGAGTCATTGCAACATGATTAATGGTTATGCCTGTAGACTGTTAAAAATAAACTAACTATCCTAGTAGGGAAAGAACTTATTTGCAATTTTTTTCTTGAATATTTGATTTTATGAACTATAACATCAGCCTGCCCAGGGACTACAGGTGGAAATTAGCATTAGTGTTATAACCTGTAACTGTAAATCTCTTGTTAATGTTAATTTATAGTGTGCATTGTCCCTGTCTCCTTAAATAAATAAACTAAACTTATACACAGAAAATGGTTTTGAGACTGCAGTTCCTCCACTGAGCAGCAGAGTGCAGTGCAGAGAGTGACAGCAGTAAACAGCATTTGGCAGCGTCTCAAATGTTTGTCACAGAATGTTTTCATCGGCTGCTCCGTCTGTTCCTGTCTGCAGCATCAGGAGGCCTTGTTTCTGCACGTTTAGACCCATTCAAATCAAATCGCTTTCACTTGACATTACCACTCTGCCCCAAAGCACAGCAGCCAGACAGACAGCAGCCTTTGTGTGACGCTACTAACCCACCAACACAGATATGCTCTATCCGGCTGTGGTTTAGACCTGGTTTAGACCTGGATTAGATCTGGTTTAGACCTGGTTTAGATCTGGTTTAGATCTGGTTTAGATCTGGTTTAGACCTGGTGGTTTAGTCTTGGTTTAGACCTGGTTCAGACTTGGTTTAGTCCTGCGTTAGACCTGCCTGAGATCCAGTTTAGTCCTTAAAATGGGGTTTGGGCCTGGTCTAGTCTAATGGCTTTAACCTGATAGGCTCAATTCAGTTATGGTTTAGATCAGTTTAGTCCTGGTTTAGATTTGTTTTAGACCTGCTTTAGCTCTGGTTTAGCCCTGGTTTAGTCCTGGTTTAGACTTGGTTCAGACTTGGTTTAGTCCTGATTTAGACTTGGTTCAGACTTGGTTTAGTCCTGCGTTAGACCTGCCTGAGATCCAGTTTAGTCCTTAAAATGGGGTTTGGGCTTGGTCTAGTCTAATGGCTTTAACCTGATAGGCTCAATTCAGTTATGGTTTAGATCAGTTTAGTCTTGGTTTAGATCTAGTTAAGATCTGGTTTAGATTTGTTTTAGATCTGCTTTAGCTCTGGATTAGCCTGGTTTAGATCTGGTTTAGATCTGGTTTAGATCTGGTTTAGACCTGGTGGTTTAGTCTTGGTTTAGACCTGGTTCAGACTTGGTTTAGTCCTGCGTTAGACCTGCCTGAGATCCAGTTTAGTCCTTAAAATGGGGTTTGGGCCTGGTCTAGTCTAATGGCTTTAACCTGATAGGCTCAATTCAGTTATGGTTTAGATCAGTTTAGTCCTGGTTTAGATTTGTTTTAGACCTGCTTTAGCTCTGGTTTAGCCCTGGTTTAGTCCTGGTTTAGACTTGGTTCAGACTTGGACTTAGATTTAGACTTGGTTCAGACTTGGTTTAGTCCTGCGTTAGACCTGCCTGAGATCCAGTTTAGTCCTTAAAATGGGGTTTGGGCTTGGTCTAGTCTAATGGCTTTAACCTGATAGGCTCAATTCAGTTATGGTTTAGATCAGTTTAGTCTTGGTTTAGATCTAGTTAAGATCTGGTTTAGATTTGTTTTAGATCTGCTTTAGCTCTGGATTAGCCCTGGTTTAGTCCTGGTTTAGACTTGGTTTAGACTTGGTTTAGACTTGTTTGAGACCCGGTTTAGTCCTTAAAATGTTGTTTGGTCCTGGTCTAGTTTAACAGCTTTAACCTAATAGGCTCAGTTCACTTATGGTTTAGATCTGTTCAGTCCTGGTTTAGACCTGACTTAGACCTGGTTTAGCCCTGGTTTAGTCCTGGTTCAGACCTGGTTTAGATTTGGTTTACACCTCATTTAGTCCTTAAAATGGGATTTTGTCCTATTCTAGTTTGATGGCTTTAACGTGATGGGCTCAATTCAGTTATGGTTTAGGTCTGTTCAGTCCTGGTTTAGATCTGTTTTAGTCCTGGTTTGACCTGGTTCAGATTTGTTTAGACCTGTTTTAGTCCTGGTTTAGACCTGGTTCAGATTTGTTTAGTTCAGGCCTGGTTTAGCCCTGATTAAGCCGTGGTTTAGTCCTGGTTCAGAGCTGGTTTAGAACTGGTTCAGGCCTGGTTTAGACCTCGTTTAGTCCTTAAAATGGGTTCTAGCCTGGTCTAATCTCTTTAACCTGATATGTTCAATTCAGTTGTGGTTTAGTTCTGGTTTAGACCTAGTTTGGACCTCGTTTAGCTGCAGTTCATGGGTGTCTACAGTTCAGATTACAATTCAGCCTCTGTAACACATAATAAATTCTTTAGTGTTTATGAAATTAAATTATAAACTTGTTTTGCAGTTAAAATTATCCCCAAAGCATCTTTTTGTAGTACGTCATATAATGTTCCTGAAAGCAGCAGCCAAAAAACGTCAAGCTAAAGAGGCCCGTCACAAAGCCAATAGAGGAGATATACACAATTAGATGCAATGGATTATGTAAAACAGGACATTGGGGGCTGTTGTTTCAGATGAATTTTGGCAGAATAATAAATCCTGGTTTGTGAAAATCTAATTTGCCTTTTCCGTGAATTGTTACACAGTGAGCAGCTGCCTACACGGAAAAACATTTGAAAATAAACATGACATTTGACAAGGCAAAAAAGTTCATCTTAGTAAAAAAATGTAGTAATGTTTGAGACTGACGAACTACTACTACTACTACTACTACACTACTACTACTACTACTACTACTACTACTACTACTACTACTACTTCTACTACTATCACAAGTATGTAGGTATTTTCTGGTCTATGTTATAATCTTCCTCACCAAAAATATATCTGTTGTATTTTTGTTTCATTCACACATACACAAAACATAGAAATCCTGCATATTTAGGCTGTGATGTAACAATATCCAAATCTCATGGTACAATATTATCAGGATATGCACCTCACAGTACAATATTTATGCGATATTTTGGAGAGGCTAATATAATTGTAGATGAGACACTTTGTAGATAGGATAGGATGCTTTTAAAATACCATGACAAGATATTGGTGTGAATTATTTTCGTCATAATCTCAAGAATTTAAGTAAAAAACATATCTCTTCATGTTGTCTGCACTGAAGTGAATCATGGGATATGTAGTCCCCTATGTTCATAAGCTGTTACTACTATAAAACAATGCATTTAAGGAAAGAAACTTGCAATTTGATATATTGTGACAGCCCACGACATTATTGTGAGACTTTTGACGACACAATATTTTCGTTATTGTTACATTCCTACTCAAACATGAGTGAATGAAACAAAACTCAACTTTGGGTATGTCCTTGATGAGGCAACATGGCTTAAAACTCACAATCCCATATAATATAGGACCTTTAAAAAGCCATTATTTAAAATTTAAAGCTCTAAATGACTGGGGCCACCATGTTCAGTGACTCCCTGCCTCCATGGGACAGAGCTCAGCGATAGTGTTTTGAATGTAGGCCAAGCTGCCGATGTGTGTGATACAGGTGTAGTTAAAGTGTAACAAATCCTCCATCTGCACCAGTCGTTAAAGCACTGAGGCCTGAAATTGTAGTTTTCCAAAGTCAGCGAGCCACAAGGACGATGAATCCTTCAGTGTGGACATATGAATCTATACTATGACATTGCTCTTTAAGTTTTTGTGTTATTCAGAGGTACACTATGAGACTTTCTTGAAGGAGGTTCACCTACTGCTTGTCTTCATGGAGATGTTGTTTGTTTTTGGTGTAATATTCCACAGTATGGCATTAAAGGTCCTATATTCTGCTAAATTGACTCTTGTAAGCTTTAAGTCATGGCAGAATGTTGTTACCTCCTCAAAAACACACCTGGGTTGAAATGACCCATATGATTCTAGTGAAGGTGTATAGAGTTTAAAAATACAGAGGAGCCCTTCCTGTATTACCGTATGACATCACAATTGTTTTCAGTTTGATAGAAGAATTAAATATGGCTAAATATGCAGGATCTGTGTGTTAAACATGTGTGAATGAAACAAACACAATTCCAGGTTTGTTTGTGATGACGAAACAACAATATAATAATAAAGATCAGAAAATAGCATAATATGGGCCCTTTAAAATGATCTGTGTTGCATTTACTGAAATACAGTGTTCAATTCTGCATTATTACTTTCAGAGGGATCACCTCTTCACAGATCTGACCTGTAACTTCGGTAAGTTATGTTTCTCTGTATCTCTGCAAAACTACCTCACCAATGCTACAGGAAGAAACCACTGCTATATCTGAATTTTACAAAGTAGAGCAATCTCTCATCTCAAGAAACAGGTAACAAGTTCAGTTCATATTTTTTTTAACACACTGACCTACTTAAAATAAATGTGAAATTCAGTAATAAATTTGTCCTTTAAAGGTCATATATTATGCAAAATTGACTCTTGTGAGCTTTGAGCCATGTTATAATGTTGTTACCTGCTCAAAAACAGACCTGGAGTCTCATTCACACGTCTGAGTAATCCTTCATTATTTTATTTGTCTGTCATCTCCCAAGCTCAAAATGCTCTGTTCCACCTTGTGATGTCATGAGTTTTCAAGTTAATAGCTATCTTTTACATTTAGTTTAGTACAGAAGGGATAAAATCATCCAAAGGAACACCTCTATGGGCTCATTTCCTCTTTTCACATCCCTACTTCCTACTTTTTAATTTTTGTATTCATTTTTATTGCATATTTATTTTATTTATCTACCATTATACAATTTTATTTACTTAATCTTTTATTATTATCATTATGATGATGATGATGATGATGATGATTATTATTATTATTATTATTATTATAAAAAAATGTTATTTATTTTTATTTTGGGTTGTTTAGCCAGTGGGTTGGTGAGGGGGGGTGGTTGTGGTGTGTTGACATTCAGATGTGTCCTCCTGTAGAACTGTCATACCTGTGGTACTATTCAGTGCAGTGCACTATGTTTGTTTGTTTGTTAATGTTAAAATGTTCAATAAACAAAGTTGGGGGGAAAAATCCATCTAACTGATTCTAGTGAAGGTGTATGAAGTTTAAAAACACAGTGGAGCACTTGAATTACCACATGACATCATAAGGTGGAACAGAGTGTTGAGCCTGAGCCTAAATATGCAGGGTTTCTGTGTTAAACATGTGTGAATGAAACAAAACACAACTCCGGGTATGTTTTTTAATGAGGAAACAACATTATAACACCAAAAGATCAGATCAGCATAATATGGGACCTTTAAGGTGAATAAAACAATTATAACTCCTCCGTGAATTGTGAATCTTGTACATCAACGCTGCCTTCTCCTTTGTGTGTAACTGTATTTTAGACCCATTGTAGTAAGAGTGATATTGTTGCCGGTGTAATGGTAAAGTGCTTGTTTGAACAGGTGTATTGACAGAGGAAAAGCTGCTCTTACCCCCTCTGCTCTCACTGTCCGCTGGCTTCACCTGGATCGGGCGGTTCATCTGGAGAGAAAGAGAGAACAAATATATTTAAACTATGGCAACACTCACAATAGGGGAGCACAGTTAATCATTATCAAATCAAAATCAAAATTAGAATAGATGGAAGTAGCAAATAGCAAAGGTTGCGATTTCTGAAATACCACAGTTTTCCCACAAACAACCAAATATTCAGTTTTATTAGACTAAGACAAACTTTATTTTATTGATCCACAAGGGAAATTATTTGGACACAGCAGCTCACACATCTCATATATTATAATAACAAAGAGCAAGAATATAAATGGTAATAATAAATCAAAAATAAACAGTAAACGCAAAAAGAGACTGGTGTAAATAAGGTATAATTATTAACTTTTTTAATAATTATTATTATTTATTGGGGGTTATTCTGCATAAAACAGCAAACCCCAAAGTTTAGATTTGTACAAACATGCTCTGAAATGGGATTCTTGTGTTGTAGCAAGTCACGTCATATTCCACACTTTTAAAATGTGAACTTTGAACAGAATCAGATTGTTCAGCCTTAATAAATGTACAATATGCAAAAAACAAAAATAGGCAAAAACAAAGCAAAAACCCTCCCACATGTCATCCCTCTCTCCATACTCAACACATGCACAAAACTACAAGAAACACTCGGTGCATAAACATGTCAGTCAAGTCCAGTCCTGTCAAAATGTTCCAAAACTTTGCCCAAATGAGATTATATCATTTATATTTCTAATTATATTTCTAATATTGACTCAAATATTCCCATGTTTTTCAGTGAGATAATCTTTGAAGTCTAACATCTTGTGGCACATCTGGTGGAGAGGGGGCACCATATGGTCATCCCTGGACTGTGTAAATCCACCTACAAACACCATTTCCTTCAGTATGTTTTGTTTGCCATCAACTTAATGGAAAAAAATGCAACACTGATAGTATGAACACTAGAAAGAAAACAGAAACAACAAGGACTAAAACCATCATGTTAGCAGCTTAAATGATATTAAATCCAAGTCAATAAACGTGCACTGCGTAACATTTCTAGTGGAGTTTCTGCTACCTGCTTGTCTCTATGGAAATGCTGTTGCTTTGTCTAGAATGTATCTATCGTAAGGGTTACAGCACTACACTACATTACAGTTCAGATCTGTGGAGATTCACCCCTATTCACAGAAGGAATTACTGTATTTTTGAGCAATAGAAACAGCAGTAATGAATAAATGCTAGATGTTTATGTTTAAAGTTATTCCATGGAACATTCACTAAATTCAGAGTTTCAGGTGCTTCCTTCTGGTCAGTCTTTTTTAGTCCCATGAATTAGAATGAATTGTTTTAAAAGAAGCTTTGTTCCAGCAGCTGTCATACTTATGAATAAATTGTAATCTATTTATTTATCAATTTTAGTACGTTTATCTTGGGAAAATCGTGTGTTTTTATATATTTAATATTTATTGTGATTGTGATTGGATAAATTTAACTAATTATTTATGCAACAAACAATTCTGCACTGGAGCACTGTAACACTTTATTTTGTAATTGTGTTTTTATGCGTGTTTATTGTATATAATGTGGATGAATGAAATGTGAAATGTGGGACCTGCCTCTCAAAATCTGCAAAACAATACCTACAGGTACGAATAAAGCAGCCTAACTGAACCTAACTCAAAGCAAAGCTATAACATTTCCACTACAAATATTACGCAGTGCACCTGTTTTTTAAGCTGAAACACAGACAGGAACATATGATATTTGAGAGAAAACTAAAATATGAACTGTTGAACTAAAAGTCCATCCATTTCAGAACATTATGAAGAGGTCTAAAAATGGCTAGCATGTTTTGTACAATATAAGACTCCATGGAAATGCATATTTAGTTCTTATTACTATTACTACTTATTACTCATATCATATTACCTAAACAGTTTGAGATTTGCCGATTGTGACTGTAACCATTCAAACTACAATTCCCCTTTGATTGTGGTTAATTATAAAGCCAGACTTAATTTGATGAACTTTTAACTGTGCTAAAGACCAAATTCACAATACTTGGGAAAGGATAACAAGAAATACTGCTATAAAAAGCACTACAAGTCCCACCTCTGCCCAATTTACAGCGCCTGGATTCACAGGAGCTTGTGTGAAAGACAAGTGTGAAGAAATGATGAGGAGACAAACAGGAGCAGAGTTAAACCAGGACTAAACGAGTGATACAAACTTTGAATTTAAGATCATTAAGAAGGATTAGAAAATAAAGCAAAGCAGGACATGTTTAAGGAGCTGTATGCATATTCTGATATTAAATTCTGTAAAAACTCAAAGTAACAATTTAAGAATCAAGTTGGCTCTCAGGTTAGATCTGTTTTATATTCTTGTTTATATGTGGCTATTATTCAAAGTGACCTTTTTGCTAGTGTAAACCAGATTTAGTATGGGTTTAGAAGACTGTTGCCATAGTGATTAACAATTTAAAATGCTGTACATAGATCCAAATCAGCCCTGGAACTAAGTCTAAGGTTCAGCCATTTAGTTATGTTATAGACCAAGTTAAGTACTGGTTTTGTTCTTATGTGAACCTGCTTTAGTCCTGGTTTAGATGTTGTTTTGTCCTTAAACCAGATCACGGCTTCAGTCCTGGTTTACTTCAGATATATTCAGGTTTTTAGCAGTGTGCATCATTTCAAATCCTTCGTCTTGCTTGTAGCCCCCTCTGTTTATAATAAGACGCTATAGTCAGACATCTTACTTGTACACTACAACTTCACAGTCTCAAGTTTCCATTCCCTCTTTTTGCCTCTCACTGACACAGATATGTTTGATATTATATTCACTCTGTCTCTCTCTCCGTCTATAATCCCTCCACTGTCTAGAACTCCTCCTTCTTCTCCCCCTATCGCACAAAACCAGGAAAAGCACACAACACACCCACGTGGGATTGGGCCTGTGATAAGATTAAGAACGCTCGCCAGCTAATCTGGATTACAGCAGCGGGCAGCATCCAAGTGCTGTGACAGACAGAGGGGCAGGCAGGTTCCAAGCACCCCACACAGGGGCATTTGCAGGGGGCAGAGACAGGGTATGTGGAAAAACAACAGTAAACAAACAAAACACAAATAATATTACTTTACACTGATTTACATTCACTTTCTTGAGACTAATTCTAACTTTAGCCTTAATTAATGCCTTTACAACTTGAACCTTCAAAACCACTTCAGAAAATAGTCTCTTGTGAGCTTGAAGTTACGTTATAATGTTGTTACCTGATCAAAAACATACTTGGAGCTGTGTTTTGTTTCATTCACACTTGTTTGTCATCTCCAAAGCTCAAAATGCTCTGTTCCACCTTGTGATCTCATGAAGTATGGTAGTTTTCAACAAATTTTAACAGCTGCCTTTTATCTTTTGTTGAGATATTGCCAATTTCAGATCTGGAATCATCCAAATAATTCTAGTGAAGGTGTGAAGGTGTGAGTTTAGAAACACAGTGGAGCACTTCCTGTATTACTACATGACATCACAAGGTGGAACAGAGCATTTTGAGCTGTGGAGATGACAAACATGTTTTCAGTTTGAGAGAAGAACTCAACAAGAGCATCTTTGGACATATGGAAGTTTTCAAACCATGCATTTTCATCAGCTACTCCTTGCACAAAGTTGTCCCACAATCGACTGGTTCTCCCAGGTCTCGTCCAGAGCCATCTGCGACAAACTGGTGCATCCAGAATTTGACAGTGGTGACAGCAGATCCTTCTCTGTTCACTAATAGTGTCTCTGCATATTCTATATATTTGTTGGGATGCCTCCTGTAAGTTTATTAGAGCTGCCAGAGCAGCTTGAAGGTCTGACGCATAGATGTGACATGAACACATACGTGACCTGAGCAGATCTGACCAGAGTTTTGTGCCTTGGGCAGTGACGGAAACGCTACGGCGAAGCGTATTCAACTTTTCCACTCTGGAGGGTGATTTCAGATTTTTGCATTTTTAAGCCCCAAAAACGCCGTCACCATCTAAACAAAAGGCACTTCCGATTAAATATTTTGTCGTTTTTACCCGCAAACGTTCTAGTGTAAACAGGCCCTTAGCCTAGACTAATTTTAAAATATAAAAATGAGCCACAAACAATGGAAAAACAAATGAGGTGACCCAAAATGACACCAGACAAAAATACTATAGGCCTACAACTTGGAGTGTACCATAGAGAGAAGCCATGAATTTATATTACTGCCAAAATGCTCCACCAGGCCACAGCGCAAATCTTGTTCTGGGTTTTTTATTATTATTGTCTAGTATTTATTTTGCCCAGTTTCATTACATCTATATTTTAACTATAATTGCTTATTTTCTAAGAGAGTTTTGTGTGCAAAGGAGTGATTTCCCTTGTGGATCTGTAAAGTTTATTTAAGTCCAAGTCTAGAAGTGCAAAACTATAACAGGCCACTGGGGACACTGCGTTCTTAGACTGCTGTTTATTTATTACAGAGGAAATATTCTCGAACCCCAATCATAGCTCAAATAAAAATAATGAGGTTTGGGGGTAATGTAATTCTGTGTAAAAATATTGTTTACAATGCTAAAATCAATGATGGGACACAATAGGCAAAAATCTGCACTATGCAACTTTTCCAGTGAGGGGTTTGCCAAGCTTTGCCAGAATGTTCTACAATATGGCACTAAAATCTAACATTTGCAGATGCCGTATTACTCAATAATACCTTGAAAAACATAATTGTACATAGATGTGACCTGTTGGAGATGCATTTAATTGCATAGTGTGGAACATTCTAGCAAAGGACTAACATCTCCATGGAGGCAAGCATGTATCAGGTTATATAAACAATTTCCCTTTGTTTGGACACACTTTCTGTTTTGTTTGATATAAACTCCATATTATGAATTCAGTTAATATAGACAGAAAAACGGCAGATCAATCAAGAGTGAATTATTCCAAACTAACAAGCTGATGTGCTTTTTTGTTTTATTTTTATTCCAGTGGCATGATAACCAGAGGCAAAA